GACAGTGACCTTTGGCAGGCCCGGGCCACGTTGGGAACACACTTTCCAGAAAGAGGACATTCTGGCAGTACTCCCTGTGCGGTCAACTAAGCTATTTAGGAGGAAGTGCAAGCTTCGGGGTGCACGCCCCCCGCCCCATTCAGGGCCACAGAGATGTCCCCTCGTGCATGAGATCGCAGCCTGGGAGTTTACCAAAACGAGCAAATCCCAGAAAACGGCTGAAAGGGTTCCTCTGGTGATACCATCAGGTTTGAGACACTGAAAAAATGTTCTTCCCTCAAATCCATCCCAACCTCTCCCCAGTAAATCCCAGCACAGTGAAAATAGCAACATCAGCAGTTCTGCATTGCCGGACGGCTGGCCCAGTTAGAAGCACGCACTCCATCGACAGGTCGAGACCCAAAGTGCATGGCTGAGATGTGGGCAGAAAGACGCCCGAGGCTCGTTTCAGAAAGGAAACCTCCCCAGTTCCTACATCAGCAATCGTGATGCATGAAACATGGAAACAACCTCGCCCCAGAATTTCCTCTCTGAGAAACTTAGCGTGGAACTATGGTTTCTCAAGATTTCACAGCAAATGAGTTAAAAAAAAAAAATACAAAAAAACCCTCAGGCTTTGGATCAAATGTCTTTGCTAAAGACTGACTAAAACTAATTAAGACCAGTATGACAGAATATTTAACGTAAAAGCATCTTACGCTTTGTAAGCACCAATCTGCATAATGATAATACCCGCTCCATGTCTAGAGTGCATTTATAAAAAGCACAAATATGGGAGTAAAACATCTTTAGATGTAAACACTCAAAACAAAGCTAAGTTTCTAGTATTTTTCCACCACCTGGGAAGAGATTTTTTAAAATAATTAAATAAAAGGTGGTGCTGTGAATTACCAGCTATGTTTCTTCTGATTCCTATAAATCAGTTAAATTGAGTTTCAGGTGGAAACTTGGCTTGTTTACTAATCTTGGTCTACTTTTAGATCCTGGTAATGATTTGTTTGTTGGTTTGGTTTTTGGCCACACCTCACAGCATGTGGGATCTTAGTTCCCCGACCAGGGATCGAACACGTGCCCCCGGCAGTAGAAGCATGGAGTCCTAACCACTGGACCACCAGGGAAGTCCCCCATAATGATTTCTTGGGAGTCATCCAGAATATGGCTTATTACGATTACGTGTTACTGTCTTTCTTAAGGTATCCACTTTGGGGAAGTCTTAACTTTCACAGTTGAAAACTAGTAAAATCAGACAGGATGGTGACTTGAGCCCTGCTGGACATCACTGTCAGCTCTGGAACGCTCTTCCTCTCACGTCCAGTTGAAAGAATTCCTAACATAACATCGCATGTATTCTACAGGACAACAGGCCCAGAGTCCCTTCAAGATTCAGAGGGGACCCATGATTTGTCACCTCGTACCTGCAATCTGCCAGACACGGACCAGCTTTCCATGACCGTCAACCCAGAAACAGTAAACACGTGCCGACACCATCTTTTTACCTTCCCTGCATCCTCCTCACTCCAGGGGAGAAAGCAAAGGGCACAGCTCAAGGAAAGATACAGAACAGAGAAGTTTATTTTACACTATCCGTCCAAGAAAACAATCGCCGTAAACCAGTGCAAAATGTGTAACAGAATCCATGTGTGTCTTGGCTCTGAGAGCCCGAAGTGGTGATTTCCTCTCCCGCTCCTCCGGCCGGCAGGTGCCCCTCGGCGAACGCCGGCCTCAGTCTGCACCATCGGCAAACATTCAACCCATCTGTAGCAGGTTATTTTTACAATTCATACCAGAATGCGTACAAGGGACGGGGAAAACCATACCGAATGAATAAGTGATCAGTGCTTAAAGTAAATACATGGGGCGGCACGGGCAAGAATCCACAGTTTCAATAAATACAAGTATAACAAGCATGGGTGGGTCTCAACTCGGTGGAATTATCTGCGTAATAATCCAGCATCAGACAAAACCTAGCAGGGCTGCTGAGCAGTGATTGGCAACAACGTCCACAATAACTTATGCCCTTGAGCGAGTCTGCACTGAACACATTCTGCGGTTTCCAAGGTGTCCGTTCTCTTTTCTCCTTCCTGTGCCTCCCGCCCGCCCCACCCCCGCCGCCCCTCCCGGAAGGGAGCGGTGGAGCTGGGACTGCTGGGCGGCGGCGTCCCGAAGTTAGAACGCTGGCCCTAGAGCCAACGGTCAGGGTCCAGTGTACTCAGTACCGAGGGGCCACGTCTGTGCAAAGTGCGCGTCTCTCCATTTCCCAAGAAACCAGTGTCTGTACCTCCTGCGCGTAAAGCGGTGTTGGCCTCTGGGTCACTCCCTGTCACCCCAAACACCAAGCAAAGAGAACACATCTCAGGGACTCACAGGCGGGGAAGCTCCTGCCGTTGGCTGCCTAGCGCTCTCAGATGGAGAGGTTAACCGGGGCCCCGAGTCAAAGGCCTCTGGCAGGCAGGCAACAACTATTGCTTGAGAGGCTAGAAGGAACCTGGGGAGAGAGTGATGGTCAAAATGGACAGGTAGGCAGCTATCTCCTTCCCGTAAAACCCTGTGCCCCAGGGAAGGCCTGCAGGGCTTGGCGGAGACCCCCGGGTGTGACGTGTCACGCCTTTGTCCCAGGGCCTCGCCAGCCACTCCTCAGATCAGCACTAAATCCATACAAGCTCCAAAGCGCCTGGGACTCGACCCCAGAGGACGCAGCTGGGACACCCGTGGGTCATCGACGGACCCAGAGCCCAGTGAAAGAAGATGCAAGAAAAACTCTCAATCTCTGGAAGCAAAGGAAGAAACAGGGGGATCCCCCAAAGCCAAACAGCCCCCCAGACCCAGTAACCTAGGAATCAGCGCCAAATATAAGGAAATCCCAAACACTCCCTACCATCAATGGACCCTCTCCTCTCTCTCCTTCCACAGTCTAGGGTCATAAATTAGGCTAGTCTTCCATCCAATAACTTAAAAAAGGACGAGGGATGTACTAAGTTTTGCCTGGCTTGGGCCAGTTAGCAGCCAGTTTTTCTAGAATCTCAGTCACTGTTCAAAAATTGAGCTTGAAAATTCACGCGGGTGTCGAAGTCTTCACGCGGAGGAGGCGGGAAGGCGGAGCCGGGGTGGGGGGCGGGGAGGGGGCCGGGGGCGGGGCAGGGGGACCCGAGGGCGGGAGCGGAGGCCGGTGGGCAGCGCAGAGACCACGCCGCGGGGCCAGACTCGGGCGCCGGGCTCGTATTGCACAGAAGGAGGGGCCGCGGCTGGCGGCGGCCGCGGGTCAGTGGTCCCCGCACATGGGCAGGTTCACGAAGGTGAACACGTTGAACTCAGTCATGATGGAGAAGCACAGGAACACGCCGTATAGGAAAAGGCACCCGCACCCGAGCTTCCTGTCCAGCTGCCACTTGTTCAGGTGGACGCCAAACACCTGCAAGGCACAGAGCGGGGTCAGAGGGCGCGGGGCGGGGCCCGCCCAGTCCTTCTCCCTGGACTCCGCCCCCCCGCCCCCTCCCCCCCGTCCCCTACTCCCTGAAGCCGCGCGCCAGGTTTCCCTCCTGCCTCCCCGGTGGCTCCCTCTTTGTTCCTTTTGCGACCCTGTCCCCTCATCCTGACCTCTCACTGTCCGAGGGCGCCGGGACTCACACCTAGGCCTCACTTTCCTGTCTACAGTCACTCCGTTGCGGGTCTCCTCCAACTCCTCGGCTCTAAACCCCTCCAATGTTCTGGCGTGTCCAGAACACACGCCAGATTGCTCCTGAACTGGGACTCGTTTTTCCAACGGCTGTCCAGACCTGGCCCCTTGGATGTCAGATAGGCGCTGCAGACTTAAGATGTCTGAACTCTTCCTCACCAAACCTACTTCTCAACCCTTCAACAGCCCAGCTTGGACAGCTGGTCAGTGGTGAACCCCGTCTCCCAGCACTGTAGGGCTTCAGCGAAGCACAGAGATGCCCCGAAGCTAGGAGCGAGCACTCCGACGTCACACACAACTTCCCTACAGGCCTGGGTAATGGGGCTGATATCAGCGACTACCTCACGGGGTGGGGTGGGGGGTTGGTGAGCTCCAGATGGGAGAACACGTGCGTTAAGCACAGTGTGTGGCCATTACAAGTATAACCCTAAGTCATACCCACCTGAAGAAAATCCTAAACGGCGAAAGAATGGATTTATATGGGTTTTCACTTTTGTGTAAGGCAGTATTTACTCTGGTAAAACCTTGACATTAGACTTGCATCCTGATGCTGTGAATTACTTCTCCTGCCCTTCTGAATTCCCGTTGTCTAGTATATGTATGTTCACATACCAGGTGTGATTCAATGAGTACTTCCTTGAAAAATTCAGGAGAAAACACACTGCGTCTCTTATTGTGGAAATTCAGTAACGTGTGTATGTTAGCAGGCACTTCAAGTGGATCAGTCCGTGTGGTGGTGTGAACTTGTTCCCACCAAACGTGTCAGTTGAGTTGGAATATTAAATCGTACAAATGGATGTGATGGCCAAGGTAGTGCAGTGGCATAAAAGTTCACTGTCAACCAAGTCTGTTCTCGGTCTTTGAGTACTGGTCAAATCCATGGATTTGTGAAGATGTTTAGTAACCTGGAATAGTCAGTTAATTGGGATATAACCTTCCGTCGACTAATCTTGCAGAAAAAGTGGGATCTCCCTTTGGCTTTTGATAAAAATTTGTGTTTGACATGAGATGGACCCAGCTTCTGAGAGGAGGCTGGCTCCTTTCAGAGAGGGAGAAGGCTTTCTCATGGGTTGCCAGGATCCACTTCTGGAAGAAACAGCCATGAGATGGGGCATCTGGTGGCTGACTGTCTCCATCTACCAGAAGGCCACGTCCATCTGGTGTCCAAACAAACTGTAGCCACAGAACCCACGGGGGTGGCGGGGGGGGGGCGGGGAACATGGGAACTGGAGAGTGGAGAGAGCTGCAGACCCACCGTGACAAAGACGGAGGCCAGGAGCAAGCCCACGGAGTAGATCAGTCCCCTGCTGTTTAGCCGAATCTGTAAGAAAGGATGACATGGAGTCAGGCTCCTGAAAGCATGTCTGCGGAGTGCAGGACAGTGAGTACCAGTGAGTCCAGGGATGGAGAGCAAACGGCAGCTCCGCAGTAGAGACGGGCGATTTCCTGGACACCCAAGGTGCACCCTTGTCTGGTCCATCCTCAGCCTGATCCCTCTCGGCCTCCAGCAGGTGTCCACTGACTGCCCCTCGGCCACTTGAATTCTCCATCCTGCGTGGCCTAATTCTTATTTCCTGGGGACGTGACCTCCAGCTTGCTCGACACACAACTTTTAGGGTAAATTTAATAACATGGGTCACGGGAGCAACATTTTGAAAAATATTACTAAACTTTTTATCTCTGTTGCATTCAATGTCTGTGACTTTCACCCAAACTTGATGAGAAGTGGTGAGTGAGGGCTGCTATCTTGACCAAGCAAAGAAGAGGAAAGAGTTAACATTCCATTTCTGATACTTTGTTTTGTTTGTTTTTCACAGTAATACAGTGGGGTTAACTGGCAAACTTTGAAGAAAAAAAACAATTTCTGGAATTCTTAGGGAACAGCGTTGTCCAGTACAACTTCCCGCAATGATGGAAACGTCCTACGTCTGTGCTGTCCAGTATGGTAACCGTTAGGGACATGGGGTTCTTGAGCACTTGAAAAGTGGCTCGAACAAAAGAGGAACAAACATTTTAATCTTACCTTTAATTAATTCAAATTTACATTAGAAGAACCACATATGAGTAGTGGCTGCAGTACTGGACAGAGCAGATAGAGAGTATTAAGGGGCCAACCGGGCCGACAAAGATGGTAAAGTTTCTTCCATGGTGTCGAGAAGATGCCCCTTGTGCTTTGTCCTGGGTCCTGAGGCCGGCTGCCTGGAAATAGGAGGGGTGCCTCGGGGCAGCCATGATCACAGAGCACCCCCCTGACCAGAAGCAGCAGCATCACCTGAAGGCTTGTGAGAAATGCAGAATCTCAGGCCCCACCCAGACCTCCCAAATCAGCAAACTCTGGGGACAGGGCTCATCAACCTGTATTTTAATAGACGCCCCAGACAGTTCGGATGCACGAGACAGTTTAAGAGAAAGTCCTAAGGGTCAATCCACTTCTGACCTCCAAGCATCCTGAGGATGGGACTTTGACATTCATTTTTCCCCGGTTCTCTTGGAAACTCTTATGTGCAGCCAGGCTGGGGGACTACTCCCGACCCCCAGCAATGTACACTGTCCTGCTGGGAGTCAAATGCTCACCTGTGCTCACAGAAAGGAAAATGAGGCAGGTTGATTGATTTCATTACAGAACTAAGTGGTGATTATTAGTAGGAGTGGTTTGGACAAGGTTCAAGGTGCCTCTTGCCACCCTTGCCCCAGTTCACCCCCAGGTGTGGGTATGGTAACCTGTGGGTGTCTCTGTAGATGGGTGTGTTAGTTCATCTTTTGGCGACAGGACACTGCATGCCCTAAATAGCCAACCCTTTCTGTGGGGACCCAGAAGCCTCACACATGTCACTAAGCAATGTTCTGTCGGAGGGAATGGGCAGGACTCTCCCCTGCCTACACAATCCCTGTGAGCCAACCATCTGCTGAACCCCAGCTGGGAAATTATTCCCATACCATATGCCTCCCAAAGACTAATGGACACAATCATATCTCCATGCCACTAAAGCAACGGGTTGACCCGGTGAATCCATCGCAGACAAATGGGAGATCAGCCCCATCTCAGTCCAGCTGGTGGCGTAACTTCCTGCAGACCCTCAGCCAGGCTGTGGATAGAGTTCCCCCTCTCATCGGCTGTGTTAGTATAGAGAGGCCAGCACCCAGGCGTACAGCACAAATGACTTGTACTGAAAGAGAGTCTCTTCTGAGCTCTTAATTCTCAACACTGTGTGGATTCTTCCAAGAAGGGGGCCATTGCATTCCCAGCCCAGCTCGCCCTATGAGCCCCAGGCTCCAATTCTTGTCAGCAACGAGGATGGAGTAAAGTGATTTCCTGCCCTTAAGAAACTAAGAGCCAGTGAGAGCAAAAGGCAAAGCAGGACAGTTCTCTTTGGCCAAGGCTTTTCAAAAGGAATCACGTTCAACCAAAGCTTTGGAACTTCACCCTGTCTACATTCACGTAAAGTCTCAAAGGACAGTGCTGCTGAAATTGTAAGTCGTCTCTAAAGACTAAAGACAACCAACTTTTGTGGGGTTTCTGAGTATTTTTCACTTTTTCACCTTTTTCTCTGCAGCTTTCTTGGCTAATGGACTGCCACACGCACCCAGGGGTGTATTTTTGTTTTTTCATTGTTAATCAGAGACCTGGGCTCTCGACGCCTGCATCGGTTCCTTGCTACCTTACTGAACCCCCTTCCCCATGGACGTGACAGTCAGGAATTAGGGTTCCCTGCGCCAGCATGAACACCTCCAGCCACTGGAGACTATCGGTGGTTGGAGTCAGGGGTTGGCAAATGCAGGTGATGGGCCAGTTGTGGCCCATCGCCTGCATTTATAAATAAAACTTTATTCTAACTCAGGTTATTCATTGACACATTGTCTGTGGCTGCTTTCATGCTACAACGGCAGAACCGAGCAGTTCTGACAGAGACGGTATGGCCCACAGCACTTAATGTATTTCCTCTCTGGCCCTTTCTGGAAAAAGTGTGCCGACCCCTGGTTTAGGGCATGGGCTCCAGACCCAGCTTCCTGCTCAGTCACCCACTCGCTATATAATCATGGACAAGTGACTTAACTTCCCCAGACCTCAGTTTTCTGATGTGTAAAATGGGGACGATACAGTTCCCACCTTAGGGAGTGGTTATGAGTACTAACTGGATTAATCCATGTTCAGCTTGAATAGGAGCCGGTGTATAAAGTCCTCAATAAATCTGGGCCATTATTCTCCATCCACTCGTGATCTGCCTGGGCCCACTTCCCTGGCCCCCCAGATGCTACTTTGATACGGTCGTCACCTGGCAGCTCCCTGGTCAATGCCTCAGTAGGTGACCAACCCCATGAGAGCAGGGACGACGGCATTTCATCCTCCGCCTGGCACGGGGCTGGGCACAGACCACGTGCTTGCTACATAATCAGTGAACGATCAGGAATGCCCTTGAAGTGGCGTTTTGCGTGTGGTTTACAAAAAGGCCAGTGCTTCTGTGGGGCAGGGTGGACTGGCCAGAGAGACCCTGGATAATGTTCCAGAAGCAATGCAATCCCTGCCCTCAATTCCCTGTCTCCCTTCCCCACTTTTTTTATGTGTGTATAGCTATTTATTTTTTCACCCAACACTTTATTATGAATGCTTTTAAGCGTTCAGAAAAGTTGAAAGAATCAGAGCATCTTATTTTTTTAATGAACTTCACAGTAAGCTAGGACATGTCACCCCCATCACTTCAGCCTGCATCTCACTACACAGGGTTCACTAGTAGTTCACAGCTCTTACTTTTAGGTGCTGTTTCCATATGGTGAAATTCACAAATCATAACTGCACCATTCAATGTGTTTTGAGAAATGCATACACCCATGTCCCCCAAAGTCCAGCCGTGACGTAGAGCACTTCCATCACCCCAGAAAGCTCTCCTTTGCCCTCCCAGCCAGTCTCACCCAGGGGTAGCCACTGCTCTAAGCTTCTCCATCATACGTTGGTTTAGCCTGTCATATAAATGGCATCTCACAGTGTGCACTCTTTTCTGCCAGGATCCTTTTACTCAGCATACGATTTTTTAATGTATCCCTTCATGTTTTTCATTGCATCGATAGCTCACTTCATTTTTTAATTGAGGTATCATGGACATCTAACATTATATTAGTTTCAGGTGTACAAGATCATGACTTGATATTTGTATATACTGGGAAATGGTCCCCACAATCAGTCCCCATACATAATTACAAACATTTTTCTTTCCTGTGATGAGGACTTTTAAGATCTACTCTCTCAGCAACTTTCAAATATGCTCAGCTCTTTTTTAACAGCGTACGTATATGACGGATCGTTTAATTATTCTCCTCTTGGTGGGCTGCTTCTAGTTTGGGGCTATTGGTGTGTATTGATTTTATAACACAAGCAAAATGAAAAGAGGCCGACAGTGGAGACAGGAAAATGAAGAGAACAAAGACAGCTCGGGACTCCTCCGGGACCTCAAAGGCACCAGCTCACATGCTGGCAGCCCTGGTAGCCCTTACCCAACTGGAGCAATTCACCGCCTCCCCCCACGCCCATCCTCTTTGGGAACATGCAGTTGAGTCAGATGGGGCCCTCACCTCCTTCCCATTTCTTCTCTGCCCATCCCTCCCTAGGTCCTTTGCCTCTTCCAAGTTCACTGGGCCCCTGCTGGCTTTATCCCCCAGCTGATGCTGATCTCCTCCTAACTTTCCCCGGGGGGGCCGGCTTCTTCCCTCCCCAGCCAGTCCCAGTGCTCTAAGGGCAGATGCCTGGGTCTTGAGTTTTCTGTCATTCCACACAGCACCTAACTGCCCCCCTAACTCCACACACTGTATGTTTAAGTGAGCATCTGCTGGTGATGCTGCGAGAGAGAGAGAGAGAGAGAGAGAGAGAGAGAGAGAGAGAGAGAGTGTATGTGTGTGTGTGTGTGTGTGTGTGTGTGTGTTATGTGTAAGGCAGTGAGGCTGGATGGCAAGGGGCACGACTGGAGAGCTGGGTGGGGAAACTGACCACGGTGAAGGTTGGCTTTAAGCCTGATCTTTTTAAGCAAGAAAGTCAGAGGGCACCAAAATTACCTTTTCCCCCTCAGTGGAGGCAAACTTGCATATGGTAAAATGCAGAGATCTCAAGTGGACTGTTGGATGAGTTTTGACCAATGCGTGTACCCAGGTAACCCACACCCCAACGAGAATATAAAACATTTTCGTTACCCCAGTAAGGTTCCCTGAGGGCAGCAAATCTTAACCCTCCCGAACAACTAGTTTCTTGGGGGCTTGCTAAGCCAGACAATCTTAGGGTTAACTAAGATGCTAACCTCTGGAAAAGACTTGGAGCTCCAGCTGCACAGTGTGGACCTAAACTGGCATCTCCCTGCTCCTGCCTCAGAGATGCGAAGCCCAGGAAGTGCAAAGGCAGGGAGTCCCCATGGCAATGCCCTTCTGAGAGCAGGCAACACACTCGGATTGCTCAGCTCTGACATTTAACGTTGTTTTATTTCTTGCCTTCAAAACTACGAATTTTCATTCCCCAATTCCCTCTTGGCAGTTGTTGGAGAGGAAACAGGAGGCTGGCTTGTTCCCAAGTCAACAGGAATTTAGGCTCCGTGGATGTGTGGTTTTTAGTAGGGATGCACGCAGAGACCATGACACCCCTAGTTTCCCATGTGCACGTGGCTCATAAAACAGCTCCCTGAATCCTACACCATTTGTTTGAGGACCTAAAAAAGACTCAAAGACTCCGACTCTCCCCACATTACAGTTTAAAATCTCTGTATGTTTTGAGGTCAGCTCCACCCAACCAGCAAATTCTTTTCAGAAAAACAAGAAGCCCCTGGATTTTCTCTAATTTGGTTTATAACTTGGAACACATGTGGTGTGTCCTTTGCATTCTCTGACTTGGGTAGTTTGAACACTTGCTTGGGCTTTGGTTCCAAATGGATGTGTCCAGCCGTGACTTTATGTTGTATAACATCACAGGGCGGGAACCTCTCTCCTTGAACAATTAAATGACATCAGAAAGTGAACAAGCCGACAGAAAAGCAGCACATTAAAGGCAGCTGGTGCCCAAGTCCCTTCCGTTCCAGAGCACACACACAAACACAGGATTGCACTGAATTCTAGTAGCTACTCCTCGAGGTGGCTTGTTCTCCCTGTAAAGGTGAGAGAGCTGAGGCTCAGGGCAGTGACGCTCTTAACCGAGGTAAGATTCTGCTCACCAGCGCGCGGGTGTGGGTTTCCCCGACACATCCAAGCAATTCTGCGACACCAGCTGAGTGTCCTGCACTTTAACCTGCCACTTCCTACCTGGAAGCCGCAGCAGCTCCCACAGGTTAGGCCTCAGCTCTGCAAGGCTGTACCCGCCTCCCCCCACTTGAGATGCAGGCTGTAAGTCCAGGTTGTCACCTGTGCTTTTGACGACTGGGTTACAGATTAGAGGTCCCCATGGGGGTTCCAAGAAGGAACCTTCTTCTTGGGTTCTACTAGTTTGCTAGAGGGCTCACAGAACTTGGAGAAAACATTTACCTTACTAGATCACCGGTTTATTATAAAAGGATATAACTCAGATGGAAGAGAGGCACAGGGCAAGGTGTGGGGAAAGGGCTGGGGGCTCCCAGGTCCTCTCGGGGTGGGGGGCACTCTCCCTGAATCTCCATGCGTTCACCAACACAGAAGCTCTCTGAACCCTGTCCTTTTTGGGCATTTACGGAGGCCTCATTATAGAGGCACAACTGATTAAATCAACGGCCACTGGTGACTGATTGAACCTCCAGCCCCTCTCTTTGCCCCAGACTTCAGGGGGTTGCGACTAAAAGTTCCAACCCTCAAATCACAGGGTTGGTTCTCCTGCCAAGCAGTCCTCATCCTTAGGTGCTGACCTAAAGTCACCTCATTAACAGAAAAAAAGATACCTTTGTAGCTCTCCTCAGGAAATTCTGAGGGTTTTAGGAGCCCCGTGCTAGAAACGAAGAGTAAATGTATGTTTCTTATCATAAATCCCAGTATCACACACGGCCACGAAGCTGGAAAGGGGTCAAGCCTGCACTCAGAGTCGGCCTTAAGCCTGTAAATTCCAGACTCTTCCCTGCACCTTGCAGGGCACAGGGGAAAAGCCAGAGTTCTCTTCACCTGCTAAGAACTCTCCAAGGTGGCACCTGGGCCTTTGGCGCCCATCCTTTCTGGAAGAGTCCTGAATACACAGCAAGAACCACAGATGCCCGTGCAGCAGAGGCCTGGGGCCGCCCCATCCTCTTGCCCGTGCTGCCCCCATCCTCTTGCCACTTCGGTGGAGCCAGCTGACTCCCCAGAGCCGGTACTGGCGCCTGTACCTGAGGGCTCCTCCCAGAACTGCGGAAGCGCCACCCGCCCCACCAATGTCCCTCCAGCTGCTGCCGCCTGCCTTCCCGTCACACCTCCCCGCTCCCTTCTGGGCTTTCCTCCTCCCTCCCCCCCACCCCCGAATAAATGCCTCACCCCATCCTTGTCTCAGGATGCAGTGGTCTCTGGGGGATCTGAACTTTGATAGACGGTGGGACTGAATCTGCTTCAGGCCTTGGTGACCCAGGTCAGCCCTTTCCCGGGGGGCCGGTCAAGACCCTGTCTTCCCCCAGGTATCATCTCATTTTCCTGAACCAGCACCTGAAATCTAAAGGGCAAGATTCACCTTCAGGGGACTGGGCGGTGTCATGGTAGCCCCCAGGGTCTTGTTAGAACAGCCTCAAGAAGAACCATTCATTGCCACGTCGCCCAGCGCTCCCCCAGTTACCCCTCCAGGCCTGTGTTTAGACGGGCCCTGGCAGCGCTTTTTGGAGTTTGCTGGTGTCCATGGTGTCAACACTCCTGCCAAGGTCAAGTGCAAGGTGCCAACCAAGGGTGGGGTGGGGAAGACCTCTGTAAGTCTCTTCTTCCCCTGGGGGTTGGGGCAGCGTTTTCAGTAAAAGGAAACACTGGTCCGGCAACTGGAGCAGCATGCAGGTACCAAGAGCCTGATTCAGGGATGCTCGCTAAGAAGGCGAGAAGGAAGATGCAGAAGCATCGGGTACCGACTGGCGGGTTATGGGCGCGCCGGCTGAGTCAGACACGGTGCTGCTCTCAGAGGCGGAGGGGAGATGGCCGCCCACGTGACTGCAGAGGCAGCTTCCTGGAGGAGGTGATGGCTGGCAGACAGCCGGCCTTGGAAGAAGGACCTTGGGAAAAGCCTTCCTCCACCTGGCCACGCCCTCCTTCTGGAAACATTCTCGGGCCCCACTTCCTCCCGGTTCTCCCCCTTTCTGGCTGAACCACTCCTCAGCCTCCTTCGCTGGATGGTTTTTTCCTGCCTGACATCAGGATATGGTTCCGGGCTCTCTTCTCTATTTACACTTATTTCTTGTAAGAGCTTTATGCTTGAAGACCCACAATAATGCTCTCGCCTGCCAAATGGAGACCTTGCCTCTGAACTTCAGACGCCTTTATCCCACTGCCTACCTGACATCTCCACCAGGACGACCCTCAGACACATGAAACCTAATCTGTCCTAAATGGAACCCTGGGCACTGCCTCTTAGATATGCTCCCCTCCACCCCTACCCAGGCTTGTCTTCCGCAGGTCACATATTTTCTCTTTCCTACAAATGCTTCATAACTGGTCTTGGGCCTCTGTCTTGTGTGGCTCCAACCCTTTCCCCACGCAGTAGCTGGAATCTTCTTCCTAATAGGACAATCACACCACCCCCTTCCTGGTCTCCATGGCCACGGCTCTCAGCGTCCTTGCCCACGTGGCCTCTCTGGGCTCTAGTTGCTTCCTGCCACTCATCCCTCTGCCTCCCCGCCTCCCACCCCCACCCTCTGCCCCCAGGCAGAGGAGCTGTCCTCGGGTCCTTCCGTGCACAGAACCTTCTAGTGTCTTGGTCTTTTACTAGCTGTTCCTTCTGTTTAGAAAAAGCCTCTCACTTTTATCTCCTTGGTTTCTGATAATCTCAGATTCTCAGAATAAGTGTCACTTCCTCACATGCATTCCAGGTGCCCTGATCCCTGCCACACACAGCCACATGCTGCCATGACTCCCGCATGACCAGCTCTCAGGAGAGCATGCGTCACACTTGGGTTCGGAATTGCCTGTGTGGTCATCTCCTCCCAGAGGCCGGGGCTCCAGGAGCACAGGACGGTGTCTGTCCAGCTCACTGAGGTGTCCCCAGCGATGGCGACCAGCTTGGCACACAGAAAGCAGTCAATTCATGTCTGACCAGAAGAAGGATGAGAACATTTCTGATCACTTCTTTTTACCTCTGTGGATTCTGGAATCAGGGGGGCTCTTGCTTGGAAACAGAAAAAGACAGACATCCTCTGCTGCCTCCGTTCATTGCTTCTTAGATTTATTTTACATTTCTAAGCCCCAGCTCAGAAATCAGATTTGCCCTGGCTGCCCCGGAGCCTGCCTGGTGACTTTCTTCGTGCGGTTGGAGCAGCCGGAACAGACCTTTGTCACCAAAATGGGACAAGAAGTACTCATTTTCCAAACTGACTTTTAGAAATAGTTTTTATTGGGGGCACTTAGGTAGCTAGCTGGCTTCTGAGCAATACACAAGTACTAAGAAATGCCCCAAATCTATAAAACTGCCTTGGTTCCTTGCTGTCAGATGCCTGAACTTCATCCTTGCACAAAACAGCTGTCTCAGTGGTAATTATCCAAAAATTATGACCTGGAAATCCATCTAGGCAAGATGGGAAAATTGCTTCAGAATTGTAGCAGGTTACCTGCTAGGGTGAGGAGGCCATTAAACCCACACAGGCTGCTGGGTGCCGATGTCAGAGCTACAGAAAGATGTCAGAAAGCTACGTGGTTACTGAACTGCTAATAGATGGAGGCCCCTGAGTGTCCTTTCGGAAATGACACCCTCTCCCGGGAAAAGCTGGAGGCGGACCTGAGGGAAGACCAAATCGCCCATGGCCAATAAGCCTCTAAACGCGCTTTTCCATGAACCTGGAGCTATCTTTCCAAGCAACTCCTGCATCTCGGCATGAAGTTACACGTTGGGACCCTACAGTGTGCCTGGGCACGGGGGCTGGCCCCCAAGGGCCTGATGCAAGCGGCGGAGGGACCCAGGGCCTGGACAAATGGACCATCTTCATGGAAGGATCCAGAGCAGTTCCTCAGATAGAAACCGCTCTAGACTCATCACTTACTGCAGCCTCAGGCAGTGGCGATTTGAGCTGCACCAACGCCTGTGAAATCTGGGCGTCAGGAGTCCTCTTCCCTCCCGGCTCCTTCTCCCTTTACATGAAGTTGAAGTGCTCACCGAAGCCTTAATAAGCAGACCCTGTCCTCTCTCCCAGCAAAGACTCAAACCCAGGGGCCCCAGCGACGACCCTCACGCTCCTGGGCGCCAGCCGGGAACGGCGGCCTCTGTGCCACGATTTGCTTTGGCCATGGTTCTCCCTGGCCCAGTGTGAAGAGAAGAAACCTCACTGTCCTCTCTCTGCCTCTTTCCGGCTGTGGGATTTAAGCTCTGAGGCCCTGGGTGCCTGACCTGCAGAAGCAGGCCTAGCACAGCACTAGGCTTACAGTGAATCCCTGACCCTGGCCTGCCTCGCCCCGCGCCCTGGCCTTCCTTCTGTTTTCAGACACAGCTGCCCGGGGTACCCTCTTGTTACAAGGCGCCCCCTGCCCCTCAAATCCCCCACTCTTTTTGGCCACTCACTGCTCAGCACAGAGCCCACCGCCCTGGGCAGCAGGTTCAGAGTGACGGGCGCCCCTCACTATCACACGCCCACCTATCTCCACGGGCTTCTCCTCTGAAGTCAGTAGTCCCGTGTTTGTCCCTCATGGAGTCTGTCTCCCTCCACCCGACACACGGTCTAAGGGGGAGGGGCTGGCCTGCCTTGTTCACTCTGTATTCCCAGTTCCTCACCAAGTTCCCGGCACACAGTACATGCACGATACGCACTGATGCTTGTCTTACTTAGCTGTTGTCAGAATTAGATGAGCCCATGTGTGCATGGCCTCCCTGGAGTTGCTGGCGCATAGTAGGGACTCGATGGATGTTAAGCTATTCTCATTGCTGCTCTGTTTGTCCCCTGCACTTTTCTCAGGTCAGCCTGTTCCTCCCTTCTGCTCTGCTCACGTGTCTTCCTCCCCAAGTGAGGTGGTGCTGATGGGAAAGTCAGGAGCCATCCACCCATCCCTCCAACAACTATTTCTTGAGCACATTCTAAGTGCCAGGCACTGTGCCAGGCAGAGAGGAAACAATAAATGAGTAAGACGGGCACAGTCCCTGCCCTCAGGGAGATCACTCCTCTGCGGGAGGCTCAGACAAAGGGGCAAAGTCAGCCTTGATGGTACCTGCTGGTGAAAAACACAGCAGCGACATCTGACTCAGGTATGGGAGGTCACAGTGGACATCCAAGCTGGTACCCGAAGGATGAACTGGAGAGAGAGACAAGGGGAGTCCTTGCTGGCGGCCCTTCCCTGCTCTGTGAGGTGGTCTGTTTCCAGGGGACAATTTTCTTCGATCCCTAACTTACAGGAAAACCAAAAGACATAGCTTGGTTGGGCCAAATTGGGCCACTGTTTTGGTCTACCATTACTAGACAAAGAGGTAGCCTGCACAAGTAAAGTTTCCCAGAAAATTAAAGTCTACCTACATGCCAGCACCTCGACTGCTTCTGATGAAATTATTTCATTCTTACTTTTGTCTGGATGACTGCGAATGACCACCATGAATATACATTATTTAACTGGACTGAAATACGGCAACACTCTCAGGAGCTACTGATGTACGAGGATTGCTCGCCTCTGCAATTGAGGAAGTAAAATGTATTCTCTATTTAAACAAGTAAAATGTCCTGCCGTGTGGATGGCAAACGCGAAGTGGACAAGGTTTTACACTCAGGCTCCAGCCACAGGGAACCGATCCGGGTAAATAACTGCCAGACAAAATAGGGAAGAGAGGGGGCCAACAGGGACGCGGGGAAGAGCTTATGTGATGCTCAGCATGGGCTGTACTTGGGGGCAGTGCCTGGAGGGATGAGAGGAGTCAGGCGTGTGGGCAGGACTCGGGGGGTCTGCTCATAGAGATTTTCTCCCTCTCTGAATGCCCTCTCAATCAAAGAGATGAAACTATCTCAGAAAAATAAGTAAAAAGTAGCATTTTAAAGAATGCCACTTGGATCTGAGGGTGGTTTGATTACTCTGCCCCTCCCCTGATTCAGCTCACCTGGCTGCCTCTACCTGCCTCTTGCCCATTTACATTTTAGCTCTGCTTCAGGATGAAAACTTTTCCTGACAGTGAAGATTATCACTATTTATTAAACATGGATTCTAGAATACAATGCTTTAACTGCAATATAATCATGGGCTTCCTGACAGTTACTAAGTTTTGAATAGTACTGAAAAATAAATTAACTAGGTTTTTTTCCCCAGAGAATTTTAAAAGTTCAAAATGTAATCTCCTTTTCCACAAATGATGCTGAAACCACTATATAGCCACATGCAAAAGAGTGAAGTCGGATCCCTACCTCACACCATATGCAAAATGAAATCTCCTTTGGTTTCCCTGGGGCTCATGAACTGTTTATAGATTATTGAATTTCTACTTTCAAAAGAGAGGCCTACATTGGACGCTGGTATCCCTGGAATAGAATGAAGATCTCTCTGGCACTGGTTACAGAAAGAGAAGCATTTGGATAAATGCTTCTTTCTCTGGGCTTTTCAACCAAATGTTTTCCCCCAAGAGCACTCTCTTGTCTGCCACGGCTGCTTATAAACCAGAAGTGGCCTGCTTCTTCTCCTGCATTTCCCCCTCAACTTCAAAAATAAAGGCAATCTTCAACCACAGAATTTGATGTGCTCCTTGTACAATTCCAGAAGAATGACCAGACTGACTGATGACCCAGTTATGTCATCCACAGATGGAAAACATGAATTTGGGCCAGACATCTAATAGGCCCTGAATTTTTGTGTTCATGATATCACCCTGTCACTAGAGTTTGGAACCTGAAAAGGGTGTGTTTTCATGGCTGCGGGTGTTACTGATATGAGAATTATGTTTAATTTTCTGTTCTCTAAAGAGTGTTCGGAGAATGTCAGGAGAGGAAAAGAGGGCATGATTTATGGCAGACGAAGTGTCTTGTGGAGTTGGGAGTTCATGTTCAATCAGGAAGATTTCACAGCTGGTAAGAGGGGTTGGTTTACCTCCAGGATGAGCTCTGAGTTTTGTTTTTCAATGGTTTTCATTTAACCTTCCGTGACTGTACCCTGTAATCCCAGTAAAGAAAAAATAAACATCATGGATCTTGGGGACATTGGAAGGATTTGCGTCCCCTGCTCCTGCCTGTTCATCCCTCCTTGGAGAGACTCAAGGTGGTAAAAATCTATTATTCAGGGACTGATTTTCCAAGTTATTTAGAGCATAGTTTCTTCTCATCGTTTTGCTGCATGCTTTTTAGCCACTAGAGAAAACAAAAAGTAGTTGAAATTCATGTAGGGCTGAAGTTTACTTCTTCACAACTCTGACAAGAGGAAAGTGGGAAGGTGAAACAAACAGGAATCAACCAGGTGGATTGTTGCCGAACTCAATGGGTCCAATACCCAGCACTCCGAGCTGGGTTCAGGGACACAGAAGCCAGGCGGAGTCTGGGGTGCCGATAAAGATGGGATGTAAAGATGGATCAGGAGATGAAATGACAGACAGAACACTGCATTTAGAAGAGGCAGAGCCCTTGGAGAGAGGAAGGAGACATCCAAGACCGAGCATGACCATGTAATGCCAGAGGGTCACCTGTAGTGCGTCCTAGGGAAGTCAGGGTGTGCTCACAGCAGGGCTCTTGCTTGGAGCGGGACACACAGGCTTGAGGCCTGAGCTGAACTGGGTGATAACGGGGAAGGCTGAATGACAGAACCTTTCTCTATCCTTGCTCAGGCAGCATGGTCTCGCCTCAAAAATAAATGTTGAACCAACTTTTTTTTTTAATGGCATTTATTTTTTAAATATTTATTTATTTATTTTTGGCTGCGTTGGGTCTTCGTTGCTATGCGCAAGCTTTCTCTAGTTGTGGAGAGCGGGGGCTACTCTTGGTTCCGGTGCGCGGGCTTCTCATTGTGGTGGCTTCTCTTGTTCCAGAGCACGGGCTCTAGGCACACGGGCTTCAGTAGCTGTGGCGCACGGGCTCAGTAGTTGTGTCTTGCAAGCTCCAGAGCACAGGCTCAGTAGCTGTGGCGCATGGGCTTAGTTGCTCCGTGGTACGTGGGATCTTCCCGGACCAGGGTTCCAACCCATGTTTCCTGCACTGGCAGGCGGATTCTTAACCACTGCACCACCAGGGAAGTCCCTGAACCAATTTTTTAAAAAAAATATTGGTTTGGAGGGGCACTTTCTGTGCCCCCAGGTCTCAGCTTGGACCTGAAGCTTCCCTCTAAGTCATGAAAGACAGCTGTTGGTGAGGCTACTGCAAGTGCAGTAGACAATTCACTCAAGGCTTCCGTGACATTCTACACCTTTTTTGTGGCTCAGGTATGTACGAGCCCCATCCTGTGTGCTCTGAGGATGCTCATCCTCACCGGGCTTCCCGTGGTGAGAACGTGAAGGGAAAGGCTGCGTTAATAACAAAGGAAAAGAATATGCAGGTGCCATGAAGCTGCCCCTAAACTGCAGGAATGAGATTAGGATAAAATAAAATGCAATGGATATTGTCGTTTTGAAAACTAATGAGGCATGTGTAAAGAGCTCCAAAACATGCGTCTTCTCTATAGCAATTCCAACTCCGGGAAAATAATCAAAAGAAATAGCCGCAAATGTAAATACAGTTTTGTGGTTAATTTCCGTAGCTCTTTAAACTCTATAAGACTGATGTACTAAGATGTCTGTGGCATCGTTAGTTATAACAGTGAAAACCTTGAAGCAGCATCCGTGTCCAACTGCAGCAGGATGATTAAGTAAATTTTGGCATAACGAGGATACTAAACTGCCTAATAATGATGTTTTTAATGAGCTTTTTTTTGTTTTCTTTTTTGTTTTTCGGGGTTTTTTTTTTTTTGCAGTACGCGGGCCTCTCACTGTTGTGGCCTCTCCCGTTGCGGAGCACAGGCTCCGGACGCACGGGCTCAGCAGCCATGGCTCACGGGCCCAGCCGCTCCCCGGCATGTGGGATCCTCCCAGACCGGGGCACGAACCTGCGTCCCCTGTATCGGCAGGCGGACTCTCAACCACTGCGCCACCAGGGAAGCCCTTTAATGAGATTTTTAAGGAAAATATGTTTGCTGTGTGTAAGAAGTATTTTAAAAAGCAATGTGCAAAATTGTGTAGCGTGACATCAGCTATGTCAACCAGCCTAGAAAGAGAAAACTATGCAGAAATGTTAACAGTTGATATCTCTGGATGGGACTATATGATTTTTATTTCATCCTCTAAAGCTGCAGTGTCTCATGGGCAGCCACAAGTCATGTAGCTATACAAATTTAAATTCATTAAAATAAAATAAAAATGAAAAAATTCAGGCCCTCACTTGTTCCAGCCATACTTCAAGTGCTTAAATGTCTCATGGGGCTAGTGGCTACTATATCCCACAGTATGGCTAGAACATTTTCATCACCGCAGAGAGTTCTATTGGGCAGGTACTGCTCTAGAGTTTTCTCTAATTAGAATTTCTCTAATTAAAGTTTCTCTAATTTTCTATGAAGACCATGAGCTATTTTTATAAACAGATAAAAAAGTAAAGTTCAGATTCGTGGACTGTAGGAAAAACCCGAGAGATTATTTTAGGAATGGCAAAACAGAATCAAGGTGACTTGCACTGAAAGGAAGCAGCGAGGCTTTAATGAGAGTGTCAACACTGTGGAAAATATGGTTCTCAGATTAAGTACAGAAAAGATGTGTTAACCAGAAGGGAGGTGGTCCACACGGGACCCAGGAAAAGGAGCTCAGAGGCAGGGTTAGTCAGTGCACTCAGCATGGCTGGAGTGGAGGGGGCAGCTCGGGGCGGCAGAGAGACAGGCCCTATGATATGGGTGGACACTCGGACGGCAGCAGCCCAGCAGCCCCAGCAGAAGGTTATCCAGCAAATCCTTTCTGTTTGGACTCCACTCTCAACCGGACACCCTGGACTGCAGGACTCATCCGCGTCTCCACTCCTTCCTGGGTACACAGCTCAACTAGTGACCTGGAGCTCCCTTATAGCCAGACGGGAACGTATGACTTCTCTGGACAGTGGGTAGGGGCAGCCAGGACATGGACCACTTCCAGGCCTCATCCAAAACCGATCTGCGCCATCTTCCGTGCCCTTGCCCTCTCGGCTTTCTGAGTGGCCGTTGGAGAAGGACTCCAAGATGGTAGAACCACCTGATGGAATAAACCTCAATCCCTGAGTTTCTGCTTGAAGCGTCCATGGGAGCTGCCAGGATAGAAACAACTGCAGCAGATTTTGAGCAAGAAATAAACCTTCGTTGGGCTACCCCAGAGAGATTCTGTGGTTATTTGTAATAGAGTAGTAGCAATGCTTATTCTGAGAAATAAAATTCTAACTTGACCTTCCGTGGGGAAGGTATCAATGCAACAGGTCTGGTTATTCAATCCTGCTTGCCTCCAGCGGAGCCTCCAGCTTTATGATGTGCACCTGGTGTCTGTGCTGGGAATCTGAGTTTTGTGATCACGGCTGTACATGTTGCAGGAGTGTGTCTACCTGACCAGCCCTCCAGAGAGCCTCAGACTCCATCTCCTGCACGTGGCGCTGTAGTGAGGCAGGACTTGGAAGCCTGCACCTGACCTCTCTGGACTTCTCCTGATGCATCTTATTTGCCTGTGGCTTTTACTCTAAACCCTTTGCTCTAATAAACCTTAGCTGTGACTATGACCTGCTGTTGAGTCCCATGAGTACTCCTGGTGAGTCAGTGAACTTGAAGGTGGTCATGGGGCTCCCCAGATACCTCCCCCATAAGATCTTTCTCCAGGAAAACAGAGCGCAAGTCATCGGGAATAAGTATGCTTTCTATCTGGCACTTGGGTATGTTAGTACCATCTGCTGGCATTCTAGCATATACATCAAACTCTCGTGAATTTGGTTGATGTGAGTCCATTCATCAGATTCTGACTGACAACAATGGCACTCTTAGGAATCTTGGGAAGATTATCTGGAATTCTGTGACCACCCAATGGTTGATGCTCCTGCAGGTGTCAACCTGCATGACATTTCTTCAGTGTCTCTCTTACATGCCACTTAACATGTGATAAGATGAAGCAAGTTCACAGATTTAGGATGAGCCGTGAGTGAGGCAGAAATAAAGGCTGTGGAGAGAGATCCCATTTGGCGGTGGTGGGGGGTGGTGGGGTCCAGGGAGGAGTCCTGAATGAAGTGGCATTTGTGACAGACCTGGAGGGAGGAACATCATTTCAAGTGGGAAGAGTGACGGGGAGTATGTGCATCTGAGTCAAGGTCTGCAGGAGGAAAGACTCCAGCAGGGGAAGTGCAGGGCACCTTCAGGGGCTGTGAGTCTAAAGGGTGCTAGCATAGCTCTGTGCAATATCTGAGACAGCAGATGGTCGGGGGGGCATGGTGTTTCGGGAGCACTGATGTGGGACCATTGAAGGGCTGGCCTCTGGTGAGCATCTGTTTACCTTACAGTCAGCCTAGGCTAAGTGGTCCTTCTTCCTGGGCTTAGGACCCAGGATTAAAACTCACTCCTGGGCATATACCCAGACAAAACTCTAATTCAAAAAGATACATGCACCCCTATGTTCATGCAGCACTATTTACAATAGACAAAACATGAAAGTAACCCAATGGACATTTGTCCATCAACAGATGAATGGATAAGAAGATGTGGTACATACATACAATGAAATATTACTCAGCCACTAAAAAGAATGAAATAATGCCATTTGCAGCAACATGGATGGACCTGGAGACCATCATACTAAGCGAAGTAAGTCAGACAGAGAAAGACAAATACCATATGATACCATTTATATGTGGAATCTAAAATACAACACAAATGAACATATCTATGAAACAGAAACAGACTCACAGACATAGAGGACAGACTTGTGGTTGCCAAGGCGGAGGGAGAATGGGGTTGGGATGGAGTGGGAGTTTGGGATGAGCAGATACAAGCTATTATATATAGGATGGATAAACAACAAGGTCCTAATGTATAGCACAGGTAACTATATTCAATATCCTGTGATAAACCGTGATGGAAAAGAACATGAAAAAGAATGTATATATAGGTACAACCGAATCACTTTGCTGTACACTAGAAACTAACAGAACATTGTAAATCAACTCTACTTCAATAAAATAAATTTTTAAAAAATTATTAAGGGAAAAAAATGAAAAAAGAATCAACTCACCCACAAAAAACACAGTAACCTCTAATGGAAAATTGGGTAAAGCGCATAAAGAGATAATTATCCTAAAGAAGAACCCAAAAGGCCAATACATGTAACAAAGAATACCCAGTCTCTCTGGTAATTAAAGAAAGATCAGTTAAAACACAGTTAAAAAAAAAACTCATGCTGCTGAATCTCTCATAAAAGTCATCAAAAACATCATTTTGTAAATCCATATGTCACGTCAGTTTGAATGTCGTCATTTTTTATTAACTGTCAAACGAGCACCCACATGATCTGGGCCTGCCTGTCCCACAAGTGCATCTCAGGCCACGAGCCCCCAGGCTCACTCTGCTCCACTGACCCTGAATCCCTTCCTTCTCTCCAACAGGCCAAGTGCACTGTTGCCTCAGGGCCTTTGCACGGGCTGTTCCTTCTGCCTGCAATGCTTTTGCTCTGCCCTGCCCCAATTTTGCCATGGTTGTCTCTCTCTAGTTATTCAGACTTTAACTCACAGTCACCTCTTGGAAGGAGCCTTCCCAGACCCCCCGAGGTAATGTCATGCGTCCTCTCTCACCACGTCATCCCGCAATTTCACAGACAGCAGAGGAAAGATCTCGGCTCCTTAGGACACGTTCTGCTTCCTTCCAACTTCTTGTGCTTATCTTTACCCTTTGGTGAAAACTCTCTGCCAACAGGTAGCTTCAAATGAACCAAAAACGTGCAGCCTTTCTGCATGGATTTCAATTTCATCACTGGACACACCTTCCCTACCTGAAACAGCCATGAGTGAAGCAACTCGGAGACAACCATCATCTGATAAAATGAGCCACCATATTTTCTTCAGAAAATACACTTACTGACAACACATTACACAGATAGACTGAAGCAACGCTCAGTAACACATTTAGAGTAGCACCCGACGCTGGGTTGGGTGTGAAAACTTCAGAGGCATAAATAATACTGTTTTCTTCCAGATACAGAGAGAAATCTCTAACTGTAGTTTCTCCTTCTATCTTTGGACAGTGTCTGGGAGAGAAGTGCCCATGAGCAGAGGAGGGACACTTTGGGAAGCTGGGAAAGAGCCCTGAAATCTACCTGGACCGCCCGTGTCACCCACCTGCAAATCCACCTGGAGTCACAGCCGGCTTAGCCTTGAGAAGGAGCGCGGGGGCCATCACTGTGGGGTCTGACTGTTGCCAGGTCCCTGGCAGAGACAGCATCGGGTATTTTGTGCCCTTCCTTCATGAATAAAAATGTTTTGCATGCCAAACAAATCCCATGGGACAAACCTGGCCCCCTGGCTGTTTCTGCACAGCCCGTGAGTTAAGAAGGGTTTTTACGTTTTTCATTGGTTGAAAAGATTCGAAAGAATCATAATGTATCATGACATGTGAAAATTATCTGAAATTCAAATTTCAGTTTCTATACATAAAGTTGGACTGAAACAGCCACGCTCATCCACTTGCCATCATCCGTGGCCGCCTCAGGCCACCACAACAGAGCTGATGACAACTGTGACAGAGACCGTCCGGGTGGCAAAGCCTAAAATATCTACTATCAGGCCCTCCCCAGAAACCGCCTACCAGCTCTGCTCTCAAGTCCTGAGTGTTCCCACATGAGCCTGACCTCGCGAGAACCTGGCCAGGAGAATTTGTTTTCCCCTCCACGTGAGAGTTCCCACACCTCCTTTGCCCTGAGACACAGTTACAGTGGCCGAGGCCACGAAAAGCAGAAAAACCACTTACGTAGGATCCGTAATCCACAGCCAGGGTCTGCAGGGCCCAGGGGAGCCCGAGGCCAATGAGAATGTCAAAAACATTGCTCCCGATGGAGTTGGACACGGCCATATCCCCCATGCCTGCGAGGACAAGAGATTACCTGAGTGAGGGAGGTGGTCCCTGGGCGGTGCCCTGGCCCCCAATGACTCTCTCAAGCCCCTGGTCTGAGAGCCAGAGACCCACGTGCCCGGGTCTCTCCCAGGCCATCCATCACTGTAGGATGACACAGATTGTAAAATAGTCTATTGAATACACATTTTCTTTTTTTGTGTGCATTTTTTCAATAGAACAGGATGAAATATACATTCTATTGAACTGCTGAGCTTAAATGTAATTTGAAAACCAACTATGGTTCCAAAAATTCTGAAGCATCCTATAGAAAGAAATAAACTCAGCAGTCTATAAAGGGCTCCTGAGTTCACCGACCCACGGTTCACTGAACCCATGGTTCAGTGTCATCACCCATCTGCTCTACGCTGTATCCAATTCTTCTTCTAAATAACTGAGCAACATTAAGGAAAATAATGTAACCAGCAGAATTCCACAAGGACCAGTGGAGGGCACTGTGCTAAGGCCGGGAGCCACAGGCTGTGTTTGCTGAAAACCAGTCTCCTCCCGCACAAATCAGGCCCATAAATTAGAGTGGGGGCTGGGAGGTGCACGGCCATCCAGGGGGCATCCACCTAGGGCGGGGCAGGTGAACTGGGACCTTGGTTTTGAGGGAGGAAGGGTCTGTCATACACTGAAGAGTGACCTCTGGCAGCTGGCACTTTGAGGGGTTCTGCAGTGGGTAAACCTTAGGCTATGGGGTCTGTCCTCTTGAAGCCTCAGTTTCCTCATCCACAAAGTGCATATATGATTGTCTCTAACTCATAGAGTTATGAAGTAACATCATGTGCTTAAACTGCTCTGTTCAGTTGATGGCAAAGGTTGGCCATCATTGTCTTTATTACTTTTTTTTTTTTTTTTTGCAGTACGTGGGCCTCTCACTGTTGTGGCCTCTCCCACTGCAGAGCACAGGCTCCGGACGCGCAGGCGCAGCGGCCATGGCTCACGGGCCCAGCAGCTCCGCGGCATGTGGGATCCTCCTGGACCAGGACATGAACCTGCGTCCCCTGCATCGGCAGGTGGACTCTCAACCACTGCGCCACCAGGAAAGCCCTTTATTACTATTTTTAATAACAGAAGTAATACAACCTCCAGAGAGGATGTGGGTGCGACCCAGGAAGCGTCTCTGCCTTCCTTGAGGGTAGACCTCTGGCTCGTTTCCTTGTTATTCTGATGCCAGGAAGCCTTTTGACCAGCGTGGCACTGAAGCAGCCCAGTGCTCCTTCCCAGCTGGGATTTGGTGCCCTGGTAACTGCCCTGTGACCTCCCCCCGCCCCCCAAGTAGGAAGTCCTGCCTTCGTGTCCCAGCCCCGCCCCATTCGGGGTCCCACCTTGTCTGGCCACAATGAGGCTGGCCATGCAGTCGGGCACGCTGGTTCCGGCTGCCAGGAAGGTGATCCCCATGATGACGTCAGGAATCCCCAGCGTGTACCCGATGATCGTGACCTGGGAGAGGCGGGAAGAGGAGAGCTGAGGGCTGGCAGCAGCCCCATCTGCCCGCAGACCCTCCCAGCAAAAAGCTGAAAAGTCTGCAATCTGGGCGGTCTCTCTGGGGGCCACGTCTGCTCTCTGTATCAAGACAGACGGACGAGGAACATCTCAGGGCGCAGACGGGGCTGCTGGCAGGGGACCGGGGTGCAGTTACGGAGCCCATGCTCTCCAACCAAAGACTGGCCTCTCATACTTGTTCCTGTGGGTGAGGCAGGCGGCCTGAGGGAGGAGAAACAGAGTTTCTGGGAAAAGGCAATACAGGGACAGTATCTGAACTCAGGATGTTCCTGGGAAACCCAGACGGATGGCTGCCATGCTGTGCTGGGAACGCAAGCATCCACGTCCCATGCTGGCTGCATAATGAGACTTTACAGGAGCTGGGAAGGGGCTGACTCACACCATCCAGCCTTGTAGGAAAAGCCATAAGCAGCTGATTCCTTTCCTCTCTTGCTGGAAGCCTGGGGACGTCACCTCTGCCCACGTCGCCCTCTGCGCCACAGTGGCTTACGTTTATCTAGTACTCAGGCACTTCTGTTAGTGCTGAGTGAGGCTCATGGGCTTTAACTTATTCCATTCTCACCACAACCCTAGGGAGTAGGTGCTTATCTGCATTCTTCACACGAGGACACGGAGGCATTGCCCAAGGCCCATGCACTGGGGAGTGGCCCGGGGTGGGGGGACATTCCCACCCGGGCATCCAGGCTGCGCCCGTTGGCACCGGCAGCACCTCTATTTACACAGGAGGGGCTTAGCTGGAGGAAGAACAGCTGACGAGGAGGCAGTGCCTCCATCCCATTAAATGAGCCCATTCTGGCCCCCAGTTTCCAGATGGGCAAACTGGGAGGAAAGCAGTGGGTGAGAAAGCGTGAGGAGGGGCGAGTGGCAAAAGTGAGTAAGTGGAAAGAGACCCATCCCGGGTCCGCTGGCTTCAGGAGAGAAAAACTTGCAGGAGGCGAACCGACGAGGTCATTGTGGGATGCCACGTGCCCTCCCTCACTTTCTGTAAAATTACAAGAAATGCAAATGGGCTGTGGTAAGTAGCCCACTCCTCCCAGCTCCTCTGGGACCCCTGCGCTGGAGCCTGGCCTCACTCCCTCCCCGTCCAAAGGTTTGGAGGATGTTAGTTAAATCCGTAGGGATGCCTGGCTTGGTCCCTTTCAAACAGGGAATGCATGTCATTTCCATCCGGTGCTGAACTGAATTTGGGGTGGCCTCGGGTTCTCTGCTTTCTCCTCTCCAGGGAGGAAAGCGAGAGCAGAAACACAGTGTTTCTTCTGTCTGTTCTGGAGCCTTTTGTGAAATGGAGCTGCAAGCATCCTTGTTTTTCCTTTCTCACCCTCAGCGGGGTCTCTGCAGGAATTGGTTTGGCTCCATGGGGCTTGGCCTGGGAAGGGGCCGCTGCCCTCGCCCTGCTGTTACTGTGGTTACCATGGTTACGGCTGAGGCTGGCGTTTGGGGGAAGTGATTCTCCGGGTGGCTGGACCAGGTCTCGGGGCTTCTCCTGGTTTCCCGCTTACTCCTGGCCATTTCTCAGGGCTTCTCAGAACCTCCCCCAGAGTGGAAGGAGGCAAACAGAAGGAGGGCGAACCTCGGATCTGTCGGCTACTTCGCGTGTTAGTGGACTTCAGAGAAAACCACTGGGCCACCTGGAGTTCAGGGACACGAATGCTATTCCCCAAACCTGGCACCCAATGAATGTGTCAAATAAAAACGTCAATGAACACAGGATGAAGGAGAAACCCCTGGCTATAAGACTTGGGTTGAAAAAAAATTATCTGTTTGTCTGTGATGTTGAAGGCACGGGATAATTACGAGTTAATTGGGTCAGGTTTACACATTTGTTATTACCTCTAAAATAATCTTTTCAGAACCTCTTTTTAGCTCTTGAGTGTAATTCTCCAGAATTTATACTGCATCTCTACGTGATGCTCAAGCATGATTATAGGCACATAATTTTGTCATGGCTTTTAATTTCTGCCCAACTCCAATTCTAATGAATTAGGTTCACTCCTCAGTTAGAAACCAGAGTCATAGATGGGAAGTGCACTCTGGGTGGCTGGGTTTCCTGGAATGGCTTTGGGGCAGAGGCTCTTTTGAGCAATGGTCCCTCAATCCATGCCAATCCTTGAATCATTGTTGCAGCTTCAGAAGGGACACTTGAGCATTCACCTGGTCCAATGACTTCATTTTCTGGTTGAAGAAACTGAGCGGAGATGAGGAGTGACTATGATGGATGGGATTGTCAGCCCCCCCATGCCTCCCACCCTTCCTCCACGCTGGCTGCCTGTGACCCTGCTGGACTTTCCACTAGAGCGGGTGGAGTATATTTCCCCCACTCCATGGATGTCGGGCTTGACTGATGGAGTGTGGGTGGAAGTCTCAAGCCAAGGGCCTGGGAGGCACCTGTGTTTGCCCTTGCCCTCCTGCATTCCAATGATCCACCGTGAGAAGACATTCCCCAGGTAGCCACTGGTCCAAAGAAAATGAGCACACACACACGGAGTAGACATGAACCCCACCTGCTGCCTGAATCAAAGGTAACCACACTGGAGTTGGAAGCAGATTGCTTAGCCAGTGCCCTCTAAGATCAGTTACTCTATGGTCTACCTGTCGACATGTGAGCAGGCGCATAAAGTCTTGTGATTCTAAACCACGGAATTTAGGGCTGGTTGTTACACAGTGTGTTGCAGCGACAGCTGACTGATACAGTTACTGGGCTGAAACCCCTGCACCTACTCCCCTCTGGTTGAGAGTATTTCTCTCTGAAGAGGTCCGGCACTGCACGGGGTCCTGGACTCACCATCCACACCATCATGTAGGAGAAGGCTGCGATCCACAGCGTGGAGGAAGCGAAGGTCACCATAAACCACTTCTCCCAGCGGGGCTTGTTGCAGTTGGGGACAGTGAAGTACAAGACAAAGCTCAGGGGCCAGGTGAACGCCCATTTCACTGTTTCCAGTTTGCCAGCTGGGAAAACAACAAAGGCAAAAAGAAAAAAAAATAAATCAGCGAGCTACATGTCTCTGCTCCACCCTCTGCACGGCTGTCCCCGGACATTTACATCCTAACGGAAGGCCTGTGAAATAAGCCCGACCATGTTGCTCTTTTCCCAGTAGACTCAAATGGCTTTCCACCAGCAACAAAACCAAGCGGAATAAAAAGTTATCCACTGCCACCTGCTACTCAGGCAACTGGAGCCAGGTGGAAAAGGATGAGGAGGATTCTCAGGATACAAACGGGGTGGGGGGAGAGTGAGGGGTCGGGGTGGAGGTGGGGGAGGGGAGGTAGAGACCGCCAGCTGCCTCTGGGTCCTTCTCCCCATGGACAGGCAGCTACATCTTCCCAGATTCTAAGGCGTCAGCGGGCACGGCGCCACCTAGTGGAATTGATCAACATCCTCTGTCAACTTGCTGAAATCTTGAAAGACCATCTGAAAGCTCTCAAGGTTGTCAAAACACCCCTTGAGTGTCCACATCCCAAGCTGCTATGGATTTGCAAATCCATAATTGCTGCCTGGCTCTAACTACTTACTGCCATGGACAAGATGATGGATCTGTCAGTGATGACCTGATCCTACCATCTCTAAGTGCTGCCTGAGTGCTGAGTATCAAAGACACCCATAAATGCTTATTTTGGTGACAACATTACCACGAGTTCCTGTAGCCTCAGATTTGAGAAACACAGTAGTTCTCCTTTGGCCATTATTACCGTCCTGCTTAAGTGCTAACTCACCTCTAAAAAGAAATAGCAAGATCTCCATCTTCCAGAAAGTTCTCTGTGTGCATCCTGGTCAACATCCCACCCCTCTACCACCATAGATTCGTTTTTCCTGTTCTCCAGCTTCAAATAAATGAAATCATATTGTATTTTTTTGTGTGTCTACCTTCTTTTATTCAACATAATGTTTTCTGAGTTTCATTCATGTGCAATTCATTCCTAATTGCTCTGTAGTGTCCCATCCTGTGAATACACCACGATTTGTTTATCCATTCTTCCGTGGAGGGGATTTGGGTTGTTGCCAGTTTTCAGGTATTACAAGGAAAGAGGCGGGGAGCTTTCTTGTAGGAGTCTTTTTGCAGGCGTGTTTCCATTTCTCTTGGGCAAAGAGCCAGGAGTCGAATTGCTGAGTCATAGGGTGGGTGTTTATTTAACTTTGTAAAAAACACTGAACTGTTTTCTAAAATGATTATTCCGTTTTATATTCCCTCCAGAGTTAAGGAGGTATTTTTAAAATTACATTTTGAATAGTATGAATAAAATTTATTTTATAATTTTACAATTTATTTTATAATTTTATGCTAGCATCCAGCACTTATTCATACGTCTCTTACCAGTCTCCAAACAGTTTCCTAGAACTATTTAAGAGGAAAACTGCAGAGTAAAGTTACACAACGCCACTTTTGGCCCCTGGTCTCCCTAGATGGCAGGGTGGTCTTTAGGGGGAGATGGAGGCTTTCTCATCAGACAGCGCTGGGTCCAGTCCCCGTTCTGCCAGAGTCGACTGCCTCAGTTACTTAAATTCCCTAAGCCTCAGTTTCCTCATCTGTAAAATGTGGACACAGAAACACTGAGCTTGAGGGTTGCTGGCAGAATTAAATGAACCATTAGGACAGAGATTGGGGCAACATAAGTTTGCACGTTACTGGACTCAAAACCCTCAGAATCTTTCCTGACTCTCCATTCTTTCATTCCCCACCTCAACCCTGGCCACCTGCCCAGGGAACTCGATCCGTCTGCATCCTCCTATCCCCATGGCCTCTCCCTGGACCAGGTCCTCCATCTATGACCTGGCTGAAGACCTGGCTTCCTAAGGGGACTTCCAGCACTCTCACCTGCCCCACCTCCATCTGCATGCCACTGACAGCCAGAGTCTCAGAAAGCAAACTGTTCTAGAACCTTCCACTGGCTTCCAGTGCTCTCAGAGTAAAACCACATCTTCCCACAAGGCAAATCATTGACTGGTTTGGCTCCTGTCTGCCACTCCCCCTGCTTACACACTCCCCTGGCTCCAAGCCTCCTTCTGCCTCAGGGACTTTGCAACTGTGGTTCCCTCTGGATAGAGCTTGTGGCTGTGTCTGTCCTGTTGAGGAGGTGACCTCCCAACACAAATGTCACCAGACCCCTCAGATCACCCAGTCTGAGATCCCCTCCCACCCCACTCCTTGCTTTCCCATCACCTGCATTTATCTGCTTCATAGCAAATGTTTTCTATTTGAAATTAACAGGTTTATTTGTTTCCTCACTATTTTCAGCTGCCCCCAAACTAGAATATAAACTCTATAAGAACGAGTGTTTTCTCCAACTTGTTCATCACTCTGTTTTGATGCCACGAACAGTGCAGGGCACACATCACATGCTCCATACGTATTAGTATCAACAGTAATGACATAACTACGAACAATCTAATCAGACGGACCAAAGGAAACTATCTGTTTTTGAGAATCTAAGGGCATCCCACTTACAGGTGCGCAATAAAGCCAAGAGAACACATTTGTAAGAAAGGAGGAGTGTCTCCTTAGCTGCTATGTATCTGTTTAGATTTAAGGTTTGGAGGTGGTGAGTGAACAATGAGAACACTGGCTGTGCCTGGCTGGATTACAAAGCAACCAGGCTGTCTGGGAGCTTTCTGTGAGGGGCTTTCAAATGCTGCACCATCCAGAACACAGCCAGATCCTAGGATCCCAAATGCTTCCTGGAATTCCACACATTCCTAAAGCCTGCACTGTGGTGATAAGGGATGGATGCACCTGGGGCCCTCGGCATCCCCTCACTGACCACCCGGTCCTCCTGATGCCCTCCCAGGGGGAGGGAGAGACAGATAGACAGACAGAGACACAGAGAGAGAGAGAGAAAGAGAGAGAGAGAGAGACACACACACACACACACTTGGTTCATTTAAAATACAAACCCAGGGCTTCCCTGGTGGTGCAGTGGTTGAGAGTCCACCTGCCGATGCAGGGGACACAGGTTTGTGCCCCGGTCCGGGAAGATCCCACATGCCGTGGAGTGGCTGGGCCCGTGAGCCATGGCCGCTGAGCCTGCGCGTCCGGAGCCTGCGCTCCGCAACGGGAGAGGCCACAGCAGTGAGAGGCCCGCGTACCACAAAAAACAAAAAAAAACAAAAAAAAACACACCCAATCAAAGTAACAAAGAAACACAAGAATGGGGAGAGAAATGACTTCAATCTGGCTCTGTTTCTTCAGAAAATAAAAAAGAGAAGAAAATGAGGCCAGAACTATGACTGCGAGAGCTTAGCACATGATATTGGTGAGGGAAAGTTGCAAGCAGTGTAAGTTCACACCAGTGAGTTTTGAGTTTTTTTCTCTCAGCTGCTTTAAAAATTCTGACTTGACACTGGAAGGGCATTATATCTGAAAACAGTTTTCACTATCATTAAAAATGATGTTTTCTTTAACTTACAGCTCCACTCTGACAACAACAAAACAGAAATTCAGAGTCTCATCTGCAACGAGCCTTTAAATATAATATAACAAATGTAACTCCTCAAACACACCAAGTGATGCAGAAATGTGCTTTTTATGTGATTTCGAGCACCAGGAGCGTTCAGGTAAGGATCGTCCATATTTTAGCCAGTCGAAATTTCTATTTCTGAACAAAGGGGTAAAAACTGTATCCCTTCTTCTTTCAGCCAGTATTTCTGGACATTTTCCCATCTTTTGTTCCATTGTCATGTGGTCTAAATACAGCCTTCCCCGGCTCGTGGTGGGTAGGTCTATTCATCAATTTAACAAATATTTAGTGAACGCCCACTACACCGCTCTGTGCAGGCACTGCTTCAGGTGCTGAGGGCATAGCAGCGAATTAACAAAACACCACTCCCTGCACCTGAACCTGATGTCGCAGCGATTATGTGATGTTTTCAAAATCAGCCAGAAAGTCAGGGGATGAAGCAAGGGTGTGAGCGTAGGACTCTGAGCACAGAGCACCCCGTTGAGCATCACTCTTCCTAAAAAGCAGAGAACTTGTTCCCAAGTTATAGTCCTTTAAAAATTTATTTTAAAACTTTTATTAATTTTTAATTTTACTGAGTTATAATTAACATACAATATGACATTAATTGCAGATGCACAACATAGCAATTCAGTATTTTTATGTATTATGAAATGGTCACTGCTTTGAGACCAGTTGAGACTATACTGAGTTATATAGTGCTGACCAAGCTTTTTAGGAAGCTTAATACTCTCAGACGGAGGAAAAGTCATTGCTCAGTATTGCAGACCCAGAACTAAGTATATACATTTGTTCTAATTATATAGGCAATAAAAATGCACATTGTGTTAAAATGGAAAGTGTAGAGAAAACAAAAAATAATTTCACCTAGGATAAACATACTAATATTTTGGTGTATTTTGTTTCAGTTTGTGCTCCAGGGAAGTGTATTTACCTCCATACACATGTAACTGTTTCTCTTTCTGTCAGTCAGTAGTAAGAAGGCTTTCTTCTCATAAGAGGTAAGAATATAAGTACAATTTATATGTATGTAGACATATAGATACATATACTATGCATAGGTATATATAATAAATACATGTATGCAACCTATATGTATGTTATATGCACATAAACATGTGTTAATATAGGTGTATATATTATATAATACACGACATGTTAACTATGTGTAAATATTCGTGTATTAATATACACTATATTGAATGTATACAGTATATAGAAACCATGTTACATGCACACATTAACTCAACCATACATGTGCACAGAGTACATATATGCACATACACACATATACACACATGTCCTATATATGCGTCTGTTTACACACTCCCACACAGTTACTTACTTGTTCATTATACACACTCTAGTCAAGCCCTGGTGGCAGAAACACAGGGAACCCAGGCCCCTGCAGGATTCCCGTGGGAGGAAAACACATCCTCACCCAGTGGAGGGGCCTTTTTCAGGCCGAAGGAACTTGGCCTGAGAGGACCCTCAAGGGCCCTCTGCTGGCCTGAGGGCCTCCACCCACTCACCACTGGGACGAAGCGGCCCTGCCCAGGGGAAGGCCTGGCCGGACACTCAGCCCCCAGCCTCGAATGGAGGTTCCGGGCCCGGGAACGGGGTTTCTCAGCAGCTGGTGGAGGACAGGGGGCCACACTCGGACAAGCCCATCCTCCACTTCAGAGGCAGAACCAGGCCCTGACCTAGGCTTCCCGGCGACACAGAGGAACCGTGAAGATGGCTGGTGGGACCGCGGGCCTCTAGCCCCCGCCACCCGCGGTGGCCCATGGACCAGCAGATCGGCATCACCTGAGGGCCTGTTAGACACGCAGAATCTCGGGCCGCACCCGGCCCTCCCGAATCAGAGCCCACCCTTTGTCAAGGATGCCCAGGTGAGAAGGGCTGGTGTAGAGGGGCTCAGGATCCCACTTCTGGTCTCAGCACCTCGGGGCCCTGGGGTGAAGCCGAGACCCCTGGGGTGGCAGGACCACGCACAACATCCCTCCTCCTTGCAGGCCTGTGCTTCCAAAGGACAGAGGGTGCCTGAGGTGGGTGCCTGAGCCCACACCTGCAGCCATGTCTCCCAACACGTGAGAAGGCCCTGGGGCCTCCACATCTGCATGCTAATCCCAGGGGCAAGGGTGGGGAGCAGAAGTGCAAGATACCCCGAAGCCTCACAGTTAGGTCTGGGGTGTACCTCGTCCAGGTGAGGAACAGGGAACGCGTGACCCACAGGGGGCCCCTCTGTCTCACTGAGTGATGAGGGTTGTCTGCTCTCACACACGTGGCTCTGACGTTTTCCTGGAGGGGTGCACGTGGGCTCCTGGGCTCCGGGGCCAGCACAGCGCCAGCCACTTACAAACTCGTCAACTGGCCTCACGGCTTCCTTCGTCGGGGTAAGACTTTAGCCAAGTAAGCGCTCCTGGAGCTTGGTTGCGGGCTGCTGACGGTGAACTCTAGAAACATGGGCTGGGGGAGGCGGAACTCCAGGTGTGGCCCCCAAGGTCTGTGCCCCAGTTTTCACAGTCTGCGGGAAGGATGAACCACCAGCCCTAACGGTCCTAGGCTCCAGATAGGCAGGTCATGATTCATCACGGGAGCCCTCGGAAGCAGAAGGGGAGGCTAGAGGGGTGGGGAGGGCGGGGAGGACCAGACACAACACACGGTGCTGGTTTGCTAGACGAGGGGCCACGGGAGCAGAAGGCGGTGGCCTTGGCGCAGGGAGCAGCCCCGGTGACAGCCACGAGGAGGAGACAGACTCAGCCCTGCAGCCACCAGGAACTCACTCCTGCCAGGAACCCGAGTGTGCCGGGGCCTCTAGGAAGGCCCACAGCCCTGTCCACCCACCTCCATCACGGCCCTGTGAGCCTCGGAACACCCAGCCGGGCCATGCCGGACTTCTGACCCCCAGAACCCGAGCAAACCAACAGGTTTAAGCCGCGAGGCTTGTTCTCACTTGTTACAAAGCAGTAGAAAGTGAACACAAGGCCTTACGAAGGAGGAGCGGGGGGTCTGGTCATTTCATCCTTAATATGTGTTTGTCCTGGGCGATAGGCAGGTTGCCAAGAAATGTTGCCAAAGGTGGCAAAATGGATAAAGAACCAGGATAGTTTTTTCTAGCAAGATAAGCTACTAACAAGTAATGATTTAACTCTGGGTGGGCGATTCTGGAGTTTGGGGTCTAGGAATCTGGGTGGGTATTTTCTAGTTAGTTTTGGTCAGCCCTTGACCAGGTTGAGATCTCAGGAGCCCTGAGGGGGCCCCGGCGCCCCCCTGAGCTTTACCTGCTGTCCCTGGACACAAAGAGGGGTAGAGAAGGAGCCTGCGTCCAAAAGTAACATGCGACTCTGATACCCTGTGCCCACGTCTCACCATTAAACGGCCTTTCACGTGGAACCAGCACTTCCGCCTGAAAACCTACAGCCGCCATCCATCCCAGCACCTCAGAGAAGACACACAGGCTAATTACACTTCACACACTTGGCAATGAATGCGAATTGGACCATCGCACTCTTTCTTGAAACAGCCAGAAACTTCTGGAAGGTCTAGCAGAATTCTTTGGGTTTGGTCCACCCATTCCCCTAATGGGTAGGGCTGGGGGACAAGGCTGCGGGAACAGCCAAGTCTTTGCTGGAGGCAGCAGTCGGGGGAGAAGGACGCTGCCCTGGTGGCCGGGGTCCTGACAGCTTTACCAGCCTCCGCCTGTGCCTCCACCCGTCAAGGAGCCGGGGGATTCCCTGGGCCAGCCCCGCGGTGTGATTTAGGCACTGTCTACCCAGGTGTGCATCCCCTGTGGTGCCCATCCTGGAAATAGCAGGTCCTGGGACAGGTGGGGCCTGAATGGGGATGAGGGAAGAGCAAAGGCCGCCTGGGAGGGCTGCTGGGCCCCCAGGGCTGGCTTTGCCAGGACAGCCTCCCACCAACTGCAACGGGGTGGGTGAAGCCCTTCTCCCCCCAGCACCATGTGCCTGGCCAACGGGGTCACGGGCTTTCCTCCTTAGCTCCAGGGGACCCCGAGGAACAGCTGAGGGAGAGCCTCCTCGAAATGCCCACATTTCAGCCCATGACCGAGTGTCACCATCTTGGTCATCTTTGGACCCCCTACAATAGAGTCTTATCCGCTGTAAAAATTAACATAGGGCTTCCCTGGTGGCGCAGCGGTTGAGAGTCCACCTGCCGATGCAGGGGACACGGGTTCGTGCCCCGGTCCGGGAAGATCCCACATGCCGCGGAGCGGATGGGCCCGTGAGCCATGGCCGCTGAGCCTGCGCGTCTGGAGCCTGTGCTCCGCAACAGGAGAGGCCACAACAGTGAGAGGCCCGCGTACCGCAAAAAAAAAAAAAAAAATTAACATAAATACTTCTACGTCATACAGAGATATTTCCTTGAATTTAAAATCAGAAAGGTCACCCAAGTCAAGGGCATCAACTCAGCAGCCTCAAAATAGCTCCAGACCCCACAGCCCAGCCCAGCCCAGCCCAGACGCGGGACCTCTTACAGGGGGGGTCGAACGGCGTGTACGGCCCTTCCTCATCCTCTTCGTCCTCCTCGCCCTCGTTCTCGTCGTTCTCGTTGTCCTCGTTCTCATTCTCCGTCTCGTTGCCAGCCTCAGCAACAACGTCGTCCCCCCGCGTCCCGTTCACACCTCTGTCCAGGGCGCTGCTGGGCCCCATCCCGTTCTCCACCGTGTGCTTAATCGGGATTTTGATGGCCACCTCGGATTCCCCATTGGCATAAGCCCTGCTGTTTATCAGTCTTTGTCTCTGGAAAAAGAAACGCATGTTCTAATACGGCCAGAGGGGCTGCAAGTCCTCACACCCAGAACACCAGCTATTGGGATATTTCCCAGTCAGCTGGCAAGGAGGTGCTTCCAGAAGGCTCTGCAGAGAAGTTCTAAGGGACTCCTCAAAGTGATAACCAACTCTGGGAGGAAGGATTAATCTTTCTGACCCACTGGAACTTGCAAATGCCTTCAGAGGAGAATCCCCATGTCTCAGATGGGCACCGCGTTCCTATCAGCGTTCTTGATTCCCTGTGTGCTGGGGTGTTAACGTTCTCCTCTAGATTGTAGGAATTCCTCGGTCCATATGTGAGAAAGCCATACACGTGTGTTTGGATTACTGGGTCAATGAGGCTGCCGTTCTGGAGAAAGGAACACCCAGGAAAATTCAGGTCAGAGACTCTGCATTACTTTAAACTAGGGTAACCTTGATTAGCAACTACTTCTGTGCATTCACATCGGAGGGCTTTATTCAGATGGAAGATAAAAAGAAGAAGGTAGGTGGAAGGGATAGAAGAGTTTTTCTGTATAACTGGGAGCTGGACCACGTCTCTGGACATGTGGAGAGAGGGGCAAGGACCAAGATGCACAGCTGGTCCAGAGAGCGAAGATGTTGGGAAATGGCTGCGGGATATTATTGTGCGAAACACTGAGGTAGGTGCTTCTACCTTCAGACCAGGAAACTTTCTCCCCTTCCCAGTTTCCCACCCCGTCCACGGCAGATGGACTGTGCTTTCCCAGATACCTCATTGATCAACATGCGACTGGCCATGGAGAGTCGAGTCTTGGGGGGAAAGTGGCTGGTGATCATGATTCGAAGACCAGCCTCAGAGAAAGAGAGCTGGTGTGGGTAGGCTGACAGCAGCTCATCTACCATGATCACTGACGCTTTGCGGTGGAAATTGGCTGGGAAAATTAAAAACATAAAATAAAAATAACATTGATACTAGGAGCAGGAAAGAGATATTCATTCACCTTCCTTCCATTCCTTTCTTTCCTGCTCTCTCTCTTCTTTCCTCCTATCTTCCTTCCCTCCCTCCTTTCTTCCCTCCCTTTTCATCCCTCCAATCACCCATCCATCCATCCATCCATCCATCCATCTACCCATCCGACCGTTCATCATCTATCCATCCACCATCCAATCAACCATCCATCCATCCATCCATCCACCCATCCATCCATTCATCTCTCCTCCCACCTACCCATCTATCCTTCCTCCCTCTCTCCCTGCCTCCCTCCCTCCCTCCCCCGCTTCCTTCCTCCCTTCCCTCCTCCTTCCTTCCAACCACCCATCCAACCATCCATCCATCCTGGAAGGGTTGTCATGATCAAAATTTGAAGAAGAGTTAAAATCTGCTTTCTACGGGGCTCATCCATACCTCTTTGAAATGACCTGAAACAATTTAAGAGTCCTTCACGAACATGGTGAGAATGAGTGATAACATAAGAGAATCCCCCTCTGTCCTCAAAGGATTCTTTTCCTGCCGCTCATATCTGGGGCATAGGAAAGACCCCAACAGTCTTTAGTAACACTTTATGCCCTTCAAATGTCAGCAGTGCTCATTCTGAACTGTTAAAAGCTGCAGAGTTGACATTAGTCCGGGTGGAGGACATGGTGGGGGGATGCCCGCGTTGCTGCGGCCCAGCCTGTGAGCAGGGCTGCCCGGGGGCTAGGGGTGGGGAGCTGGGCTCGAGTCCAGAGGGGGCTTAGGGCAAATCTTGCGTCAGGATCTGCTGGCAGGCCTGAAAATAACTTCCGTCATGGCCCAAGGCCCTCTCTGTGGATGCTGCGATACGAGTACACAGCTCATGGGTACCTGGCCAAGGCCTCACTCCTGTTCTCCAGGCCACTAAACCATGAAATGATCTCTGGAAACACTGACTAATAAAATAGGTAGCGCTCTTTGGTTCCCTAAGAGTATTCCTTTCATGGTTACGAACTACCCTGAAGAGAAGAAACTAAATGAAATCCTTACGTGGGATGGCACTGAATACTCGTAAGTCTTTTCTTCACCATGCATATAATTAGTGAGAAAAGTATATCAAATAATTGATTTTCAAATTCTAATAAGTACCCACAGATTTCAAACTTAGATATGTATTTGAAAATAATCTATAGATTTTCTAATTTCTTTTGTTTTTCCTGAAAAGCAAACAAAATGGGACTGCGAAGAAATAAACCCACACATTTCAAGGGGCAAGTTAAAAAGAAATTAAATGAAAAATGAAACGCATTTAGGCAAACATAAATGATAATTTTCCATGTTCCTCGAAGAAAGAAAATGATTAGAGAGCACTGTATTATCGCTTTGTGTATCAGCTGCTTAATAAGTATCTATTGAATGTAAGCTTTACTTTGGGGGAAAAAGGGTAATTTCCTCTGTCATTTTGCAGCTCGGAAACTGAGGTAATGTAGCCTGAAAGTGAATTTGGATATAATAATACGCTAATAACAACTATAATTAATGGAGTATTCTGCAGACTTTATCTCCTTAACTTGTTACAAAAGTTATCCTCATTTTGCAGAAGAGAAAACTGAGGCTCAGAGAGGTTAAGTAACTTGCTTCACGGTCACTCAGTCAGAATGTGACAGGGTCAGCACCTTGACACCCATGGCCTCCTCTCCTTTACCATCTCCCCACTTTCCATATATCACCCCCAGCACGTTTGGTCCAAGAACTTCCACTGGCTTTCAGAGTTTGCCCATCACCAGGATGAACCTGCTCCCTGCCCGATGCAGCGAGGGAGTGGGGGAGGCCTCCCTGGGGGCAGGCACACCCTCTGGGGCCTGGCGGGGGACGCAGCCCCCCAGGGTTACCTCTCTTGAGTAGCACCACGGTGGCGTCGCAGTTGCTGCTGTCGTCGATTTCAGCGTTGTTGGCCAAGCCGTTGACCATGTTTCCTGCACCCTTGGTCCTCCTCTCGAAGCACTGGTGTATGCAGGCGTTGTATCTGGACACGGCCATGAGTGGAAAGAGCCCATCAGCACGGCCGTACCTGCCTCCCCGGCTCCCAGCTCCCCGCAGCTCCCCGAGCCTGGACGGCCTGTGGGGGACCCTGTGCCTTAAGTTATTAGGTTATTATGTTATCATCCTGTTCCCCCCAGAATATACAACCTGCCCATTTCCCAACTTGAGAATATACGGTAAGTGAAAATAAAGCCAACATCACATAGATACATAGGGACACACTGCTTTCTCTGCAGAGTCTTCCATGTCAGCAGGGGGACCTCTGGGATTGAGTTCCCTTACTCGGGGTCTGTGTGTGCGTGGAAGGGCTGTTGTGAGACTCAGAGGGATGGGCAAGGTCTCCCTCCTCTGGGCCACGTCCCTAGGGCCTTTGCTGTCAGGGGCATGCTTGGTGGAGGAAGGTCAAGGCGTCACGTCCGTCTCTGCTGCTACCCTGGGGCTCTGCATCACGGTCCACGTGTACAGGCGGGCTGGCTGTCGAGGTCTCTGCCTGCCTTTGGTTTCCTGAGGTCATAGGCTGGGAGCCTGCGAATGTCTGTCACTGTTGTGCCATAATTCCAGGTCTGCTGCGCCCTTGGCTTTCTGAAAAAATTCTGGGCTATGATTCTCCAGAACGATTGAGTGGAAAACAATCAAAACATTGTGCAGTGCTTCTTCCACGTGTGTTGGAAGGGAGGGAGCTTGGTCAAGGTCCTAGGATGTTCTGGTAGGAAAATGTCCTGGTCCCTTTATCGTTGGTATTAGAAGACTCCCATAGAGGAATCCTAGGGAACTCACTGGTTTTTAAAATATTTATGACATTTATGAGATGAAAACAAAACTATAAAAATGATATTTCTGAGACCATTGACAATTTGAACACTGACTGGATACTTACTCCTATCAAAGCATTAGCGTTCTTTTAGTTGTGATCGTGGTGGTTAGGTGAAACATGAGTCCTTTAAGAGATACGCACTGACGTTTGGGTAGGTGAACTGACATGATGTCTGGGGCTTCAGGTCACGTGGGGAGAGGGAAGCTGCTAGGGGTGTGGGTGGAGGAAGCTAGCTGATGGTTGTAGGGCTCCTGGCAAGCACGCGGGGTGTGTCACGCTAGTCTGCCGACTGCTTTGCACGGTCAACGTTCTTCTTAATGGAAAGACCTCCCCACTTTCTTTCTCTCCCCTCCTGATGGGGCTCTAGGGGAGACGTAGTGTTTCTGGCACCTTGACTCAGAATCCATTTTCCCCACAGAAATACTGACTCACCTGGGTGTTTGCTTTAAAAGTTAACAACTGTGTGTTATACGTTTATTTGGATTTGGATAATAGGATAATACTACTATGTATCGTAGTATTATAAGCGCTTTCCTGGAAGCAGATACTGGTTAATTCCTTAACTCTTCCATCATGTTCCATCCTACAAACACCCTTTCAGGTAGGAAGCATCGTTCATTCTGTTTTTAGAAGCAGAAACTGAGATTCAAAATGACTGAATCACCTGGCCCAGGTCCCATGGCCGGGGCTGCACAGGAAGCACTTGATCTTAACCATCAGACCACACTGCCTCATCTGGGGACCAAACCCCAGGGAAGTGACATAGCGGTACAGAAATCAACCCTCGCTGAGGCCGGGTATGCCTCAGGCTCCGGGAAGGTTTCTACCTGTTGGGCCAAACTGGAATTGCTTTATGACCTTCAGACAGAACGTTTAAAGTTATTTTAAAGCCGTCTACCCAGGAGGCAGCTGATGGCTCTAATACATGCTGTTTTTAACGGCTGCTGCTCTGTTTTATATTTTTAATTGAATGTTTTAAATTTTGTGCTTGCACCCTGAAGCTATTTTATTGTGAAGCATGCAATTTTATAAATCAGATTTTATAAAACCCAGTGATTAAAGCCTCTGATTATGGAGCGGGATGGCTAAAGAGCAGAGATTTCAATTTAGAACTTCGGACTAGAATTTATGCAGAAAATTCCACGAGCACAGTAGTTGCCTTTCCCCGGTCTATTTGTATCCTGCCGGTCTGAACAGCTGGGAGGTTGGTGAAGCTGAGGCATCAGCAGAAACACACCTCATCAGCTGCCACACTGGGCACGGTTTGGGGTAGGGAGATTGTTCACTGTGTTATCTTTACGTCCACGTGCCCCGCCGGCAACTCACGGGCATTACGATGGCTCCGTAGAGGGGTACTGCGGTCACAGAATGCACGCTAGCAAAATTCCTCCATCTTCCTTCTTTTTATTTTTTATTTTTTTATTTATTTATTTTTTTAATCTTCCTTCTTTTTAGATGAAAAACACTTTTTGAAGACCTCCTTATTCCGTGTAGCCCCTGGTGAATTCAGTATGGGACATGCTTTCATCTGAATTCAGATTTAAAACCCTAGATCCACGTTGGGCTTACAGCAGACACTCAGTCAATTCTCTGGAATAACTGACGGATTCCCTTTTCAAAAGGGAATATGAGCGCTCTTGACTCTTTGGGGTCTCAAAGCATCAAAATGTAAAAAAAAAAAAAAAAAAAAAGGTGAAGCAAAAAATGCTGAAAGAAGACGTCTAATGGTGAGGCTTCCTGACTGTGGCACCGATCCCCTAGTAGTTTTGTTCTTTGAGAGAAAGAGGAACAAGTTGGCTCGTTCCATCTTTAAAGGCTTTTCCTTGGAATCTAGAAACAGTGGAAAACTTTTGGGCCAGCTCTGGTTTTCATGGGAGCTGATGTACTGGGATGCTTAAATGCAAGGTGATTTGTGGTGAAAGTATCTGGTTTCTTTGTTTGCTACCTCACGGTAACTCCACACCAGGATCAGTTTGGGTGAGGTTCTATTCTATCAGTAGAAATGTCCTCTTCCAGTCACACGACCCAGTTACTGGGTCCACACTGACTGTGGGACAGCTCCTGAGGTGGAAACTGGGTGCTACATTGAGTGGAATGGCAGCAGATGGCTTATAGCCCACCCTGGCCATCGGTCAAGCCAGCTCCTACCTTCACTGTTCCTGTGACGTTTGTCAGTGGCCACGCCGATTTCTCCCAACGAGCTCTCGGCCACCAGAATTAATCTTTGTCAGGCCTCAACAGCAAGGAAAACTTGACATGTCAATTGCAGACTGCTACCTGACGGGTCCAAATGGGCAGTTTCTGAGAGCGGTCTGCTGTCCTGCCCCCTAGAGAAGGTGATCACTCCTGCAGTCACATAGACTGGGGAGAGTATGGACTAACTTCGAGCGAAAGGAACAGCTCCCGTGGGGCAGGAATCTGCAGCACAGAATATCTCTGCACTACTGACAACCTCCTCAACTCCATGGCACTCAGCAAAAAGATGAACTGGCAGGTTCCAACCATGGTGCTTACGTTTTACATTAGAGTACGGGAAACATCAGCGACATAACTCTTGATACAGGTGGTAAGCTGTCCAGACTCCAAGGGGAACAAGCACGCATAATGTGGTGGTTTTAAAATACATCCACACATTCTGTGACACTCCTCTCTTCAAAAGGCAAAGTAGACACGTTGAGTGAGGACTGGACTGAGTGACTCTTTTCTAATAAACAGAACATGGCAGTAGTGATGGTGTGTGACTTGTGAGACCAGATCATAAAAGGTGTTGCTGGGTCCTTCCTGCTCTCTCTTTAATCACCTGCTCTTTTGGAAGCCAACTCCCGGGTGTGGGGACAGTAGAGTGGCCCTGAAGAGAAGCCCACATGGTAAGGAACTGGGGCCTCCAGCCAACGACCAGCACCTACTCACTAGCAGTGTGAGTGGGCCGTCTTGGAGCCCCAAACGGATGACAGCCGCCCTGGACAACCTCTTGCCTCTAATCCCAAGAGAGCCCCTGAGCTAGCACCCTCCAGTTCAACTGCTCCTGGATGCTTAACTCTCAGAAACTGGATGAGATAATACACGTTTGTGGTTTTAAGCCATTAAGTTTTGTGGTCATTTGTTAAGCGGCAATAGCTGACTAATACAATACAAATAACAGAAGTCTGTAGATATCTTATCCATGGTTTTAGTTATCTCTTATCCAGCTCTGGCCCCATCTTCCCTCCACCTATATGGAAACATAACACATTGAGCTTTACCTCCTCTCTTGTTATGAAAGTGAGCAAAAAAACAGCCAAAAGCTAGGCTGCCAGGTCCTGAAGAGGGGGCAAGGGTTTGAGAGATTTCTCAAACGAAATCACGAAGCTTTGATTCTATCATACATTTGGGTTGGAAGGGTCTACGCTTTTGCTGTAAGTCGAGATTGCACTGATTCCTAGCAGTCTGCCCAGGGAGCCAAGTGAGCCTCTGATGACAGGTACCCGCCCTGTCCCCTGTTCCTCTGCCCACATTATCACATAATGCTGAGTGTAGGAAAAAGTTTTGGGAGAGAAACTAAGAAAGTCTTTTACTTACTTCATTATGACAATGTAGATGAGATACATCAGCACGAGGACCAAAGACTCCCACCTGTGGACAAACCAAGAATGGTCAGTTAACAGAAGCCGCCCTAGACAGATGTGCCATGCTCCAGGTCCTCTCAGACACGTGTGTGATGCGAATGGCAGCTCAACCTGCCGAGCAGGGCAAGCATGAAGCAGACGTGCAAACAAGTTCCACATATTTCCTGGTCTGCAGACGTTTCCTAGGCTTTATCCAGGTTTTCGGGATCTTTCTCTTCCTCCCCTACTTCAAAGGAAAATGCTCCCTCTTCTCTGTTATTCGCTCACCCCAAAGAATATTTTGAACCCAGCAAGCCTTCTATAATGTAGCTGAATATACGGCTATGTGTATAAATCTGACCACAGCTTAATCGTTCACTGAAACTATTCAGATACAGTTACAAAGGGCAAACTAGAGGAACTGATAAGGGCAACCAAGGGATCGTTAGGTACATCAGAGCAAGGCATGTGTAGAGAGAGGGAGACGGAGAGGGAAAGGAAGAATAGTTGCGGGGGAGGGGAGAGGGGGAGGGAGGGACAGAGGGGGAGAGAGACAGACACCTTGGGCAGGGAAGGTGCTAGCAGGGAGGATTAGCGTGAATGAGTGGGAAAATGGTCAAGAGCAAGTAAGAAAGAAAAATAATGAAACCTTCTGGAATGTACCTTGAACTTCTGATACTTCGAATATTTCCTCTATTTTCTTTAGTTTAGTAACTTTCAGTTAAAAAGCAAGGGAACGTGAAGGTTCCCCTTTAGCTGTAGAATTTAATTAGTTAATTGAGGGAGTAATTTTGACTTTAAGAAAAGGTTCCTGGAGGATGGTCTATGAAGAAATTCTAGGTATGGCTTTCCTTCGCTTTTTCAAGTTCCATGTCTGGAAACTGATCCTGGGGAAATATGTGATCACATGTAAAGAGGAGGCACACACAGGGTTTTCGTTGCAGTGCTGTTTTATAAAAATGAAGTGTTGGAAAGAAGCAAGGCGGTTATCAGATGAGGGAGTGGGTACGTGAGTTATGGTATGTCCACAGGATAACGAGCTACCATGCATTAGCTGAGAATGATTCTGCAGATATGCACAACCACAGAGATGGTCCTCTGTCATCCTGTTCAGTGTTTCTGCAGCATCTGAAGTTGATTGCCCACCCTCTTCAGAAGACACTCTCTTCTCCTGACTTCTGAGGGCCACACTCCTGGTTTTCCTCCTGTCCCCTAATTTCTTCTCCCTCCCTTGGTGTCCCCTCCACTTCTTCAGTGTGACCTCTAACGTTCTCTCTAGGTGATGTCCTCTTGTCCTATTTCTGGAAAACCAACAGACACGTCCACGCCACACTTCTCCCCGCTCCAGGTTCAGGATCCACTTGTAAATACAGCCTCCCCACGTGGCGTCTAGATGCAGGTCGGAACAGAATTCCGAATTCCTACGCCCCAGCTTCATGTTCTCCAGGGCTTTGCCATGTCAGTGAACTGCACAGTCAAGCCCCACATCTGGAAATAAAAGTGGAGCCCTTCTCTACCCTCCCCCATGCCCATCGGGACTCTGTGTCCAAAATATCTCTGGAATTGTGGGTGTCTGCCCGCTCCACTGCTACCTCCCTCCCCCACCTTAATTTCAGCCTCTGAACTGCCTTCCTCAATGCTTCTGGATCCTGTCATTCTTCTGCTTAAGACTCTTCAATTGCTTCCCAAAAGACTTGAGAAAAAAATCAAAGGTGCCCCTCCCTGCAAACCCCGGTTCTTTTTCCTTCTCCCCCCAATCCTCTTGTGTCCCAACCTGGCCTCCTTTCATTTGCACACGGCAAGCTCCTTCCTTCTCCTCAGAGCCTTTGCACTTAACGTCCCCTCTGCCAGGAATGCTTTTCCCTTCACTCCTTCGCTGGTCCCTTTCATCCTGCAAATATCAGCTTAAACGTCACCTCCTCCATGGAGTCTTCCCTGCCTACTCCTCCTTCACTTTCTGTTTGTATTCTTTAAACCTCTGACCAGTCTGGGATTATCTTCTTTATTTACTTATTCACATCTAATGCCTGTTTCTAGCAGTCACTCGACACCACTCCTCACATCTGATTCCCGCCTGAGCGATCTGGTTTCTCCTTAGATCAGCCTCCCTGACAGAGCGCCCCCCAAGCAGGCACCCCGCCCTCCCCAGCACAGAGCAGCACTCAGCTCATCTGCAGAGGTGAGACTTCTCGAAATGTCAATTTTCAGTTGCAAGACACCTCCAAGGGGCCTGAGCGTGGTCCTTATCTCGTTGAAACCAATGTACACGTGGCATAAACGTAACTGGGAAAAGCGAATTTCTATTCCAGCTTTATTCTGAAGGAAGAGACACCCAAGAGCTGGAGGGAAGTCATGTGATTGCTTCGACGCACTTTTACAGACTTGGTGAGGGGTCATTGGAAAACAAGCCAACGTCAAAGAGACATCCCCATGAGGCTGAATTACGTCCAGCACTTGGTGAACAGGTATATTTATACTCTCTCACTCCTTTGTCTCTTTTTGATTTTTTACTCAAAGCAAGCCCTTCCATTGCAATATGTGAGTAAGCGTCTCTGCCGTCACATTTCAGGGGTGCCTGTGGCGGCGGGGTTCCCTCTCCTGCTGGCCTTTCAGGTTTGCCTTCTTGGCACCCAGACTCAGGGTCCACCCAGTGCTTCCTCCTCGTCAAGTGAGGCTCTCTGAGGCCCCTCTGCTTTGTGGCCTGATTCCATGTTTGAGCATCAAATCTTGGCTTCCTGCTCTTTGGTGTCGCCCCCCAACCTCCTGCCCCCGGGGCCATGAGTATCTCCAAATGACACCGTGATGATGTGTCTGCTCCCCCCTCATCTCAGACATCCCCAAGGCCATGGCAGAATTGGGTTTTGCATTCTGTGTCCAGTTCTGGAACGGAGGCTGGCAGCCAGGAGGTGCTCAGGAATGAACAGTTTGGGACTTGAAGCGACTCCAACTGCAGACCCTGATGTCACACGCTCTTCCCATCTGCCCCTCCCGGCCACAGCCCGCCGCTGTCCTCCAAGGACCTGGGCTTGTGTGATCTGGGTGTGCTCTTCCCTTCCCACAAACTTCCACGCTGAACCACCTACAACTGGCCCTGGATTCTCCTGCCAGAGATTGTTCTTTTCCGTGTTGGAGGGCTACGCCCTGTCACCCCCCCACCCCCACCCCTCGCCCAGAGGGCACGTCTCCTCTTCCTAACCAGGGTCCAGAACCACGAAAGCCGGTCTCCAACACCATGCAGATGGACACTGTCCAGGTCGTGTCCCAGGCTCTCCTTTCTCCCCCACCAAAGTCACGACTCACTCAAAGAAGAGACAAAAACAGCACCCTGCATCCTTTCGTTTTCTTGTCAGGCCTTCAGACTCACTGAAGACACATTCTGAATTCCTTCTGGCAACAGTGGGGGTCTTGCTGGGCAGGGTGAACACATACCCTACTAGGTGGCTCTCTGATGCTATCTATGTCAGATGTCTTTTGGGGCAGGAATCTGATGGAAAAGCAGCCGACGGATATTCTCCTGCCTCTTCCTGCTAATGGAACCCCACTATGTTGAGGCAGTAAATGGGGGCCCTTGATCTCAAGGAGGGTGGGATAAATGATTGGTCTAAAGTTGTAATTCTATTCCCCCCGGACACTTATTGATCAAAGCAGACCCAGTTGTGACCAAAGAGATATAAGGTGGAAAGGTGTCCAATGAAATGACATAGCCCCTTCTTCTTCCTTCTTGCCTTCAATCCAAACTTGATGGCTGGAACCACAGCAGCCATCTTGGGGTCATTAGGGAAAGGTCAAGAGAAATGCAGAGCCACTGTACTACCTACATCTGGGGTACTTGATATGTAAGAAAAATAAACCACTATTTCTGTAATCCACTGTGGCTGGCTTTTCTACTACCTGCTACTGAAAGCCTTCTGGTGGCCACTTCCTGGCTGAATGGGACTTGCTGTGGAATGCTGCTTGAGGAACGGTAAAGGAATCTAAACCACGCATGGTGGGGACCCCTTCCCCTTCTGTACTTGTATTTGACAAGGCTCCTTTGCTCCTAAAGAGTACTTTAGTTTCAAAATAAGCCCAACTGACATTAGTTTCCTTTCAAGGATTTGGGGTGAATTGGTTACCTGCCTTGACATTGCTAGAACATGCTGGAATGTCCTACAACAAGGAAAGGAATTCACTGTTTAAGGAATTATTGAAATACTACTGTGCTTTAATTGCACAGATTGAAGAGTCTGTCTCTTAGGACAGAAATCAGAGGAATCAGCTCCTAGACTCACTCTTTCAGCAAAATAAATACTCATGGGTGGCTGGGTGAGAAAGTAAGAGATGTGGACGGTAAAAAATATCTTAAAGTTCAGTATATTTTGCAGTCACGTGAGGAGCTGAAATCCCTGGAAATCCCAAAGCAGTGATAGGTCAGTGGTGCAGACTTTAACTTCTCAGCCTCGCTCGTGCAAAACGGTCTCCGTCACCCCATCCACATAATAACCATGATTACGTAACAGGTCGGCCGTCTGAGAATGATATTCGGTGCCGTGAAAGCTTCCCCTAGTTCTTCCCGCAGTTTCACCTGTGCATGAGTTATGATTCCAACCCACCCCAGGCTGGACCAAAACCAGCTTGGGAATTTGCGACTCGTGTATCCGTGGCCCTCCCACCTCCTCCCTCCTGTGGGAGCCCGGGTGCCCAGGCTGAGGGGCGGACGACCTCAGAATCCGGCCTTCAGCACAGGCTCGGGGAGTAGCCTAGGAACCCAGGTTCTCTCCTCTGACATCGCAGGAGGGTCAGCCTTTGGAAAGGAGAGGATACAGACTCTCCAGTTCTTGCTCCTTCCCATCTGAAATATCCTAAAGGACACCTTGAGGGTAAGGACTGACACAGGCTTGTCATGAACCTGCTTTCATTTCCTCCTGCTGTGGTTTTCACGAGCAAAGCCGAGGAGATGTGGAGAGAGGGCTCCTTCTAAGACTGACAGACGGTAAACCACCGCGGGTCTCCTTTTTTCAGGTTTTCTGCACAAAAGCAGCAGGAAAATTTCTGAGGTCAACTGGGATCATAACTTGCTTTTCCTTATGGCAGCACTATTAGCAAAGAGCAGGAACACCGAGCAACACTTAGGCACCTACTGTTTGCTGAGGCAGAGCATTGGTTGTGCTCACCACGCCATGAGTTTGAATGGGAACGCTTCTGCAAGTTTTCTTGTGCTGCACGTAATCCCCAAGGACATGAGGGGAAAATGTCACCACTCCACGTGGCCACCAGGTCCAGGTGGATCCCACGAGGAGGTTCTTCCTGACCTCTGGCCTCTGACCTCTGACCTGTGCTGCTCCCAGGCGTCTTGATCCCTTTCAGCTTCCTGATCACTGTTATTCAAAGAATTCTTCCTTCTTATTTTTATGGGTCAGTATAGGGCCTATGCGTCTTAGAGCAAGTTCCCCCAGCTGTCTCCCCCCTTGCCCTCTTGGACAGAGGAGAGAGAGGCGACAAAAGTATCTTAATACCCTGGATAGTGTGTAACGTTTATGGTCCATGTGATATGCTCCCCACCACCCCAAATTCTGAAAATCACAGAGACATCCTAGGACACAGACATGTCGCTCCAGCAAAGGGCTAGCACTCATTTTGCTGAAAACGAAGACTGCTGGGCTCTGTAATTCTTTTTTTAATTAAAGGTATAATTTATTATTATTTTCATATTCTTTTCCATTATGGTTTACTAAAGGATATCGAATAGAGTTCCCTGGGCTCTACAGTAGGACCTCGCTGTTTGTGCTTCTTTTCCTAGCTCGTTCTTAGCTCTAAATAATACCACGAAAGTCATTTACCTACAGCACCACAACTACCTGTTTCTGAGATGTTCTTTCAGAAGAAGTAGGTGTATTTTCACATCACTCTACTTCCGCAGATCAAATATTTGAAAAATGTAACAAGAATGCATGACACACCCCATTTCTATTTCCATTTCAAACACAGCAGACATGCTCAGAACCCACCTCAAAAAAGGTGATTTGGACATTGACCCAAATGCAAATGTTCCCGTATACTTAATTTGGGCAATTTTTTTAATCTATCCAAAAAAATCACTGATTTTTCAGAGCTCTAAGATCTTCTTGAATGTTAGGCAGAACTTTAAAGGGTTAAAGGTCACTGACATGTCTTCACCTCTGGTTCCTGGGATATACTGAATACATGGTGTTCGGAATATGCCGACGCGGTCTGGCCAACTGGAAAAGGTTCATCAAATTTTAATCATGGCCTTGCCCATGACTGACTGTGGAAAGGCACAGTTGCCTTACACTGTCTAATCTGGATGATAAAGACAGCAAGATAACAGGGTCCCCAAAGGAAGCCCACCAGGCCAGCCCAAGGGAAACGGTCTCTGCTCCGTGAAAGCTGATTTAATTTCTTTGTTGAGATGGACAGAGGGTTCCTGAGAAACGCTAGTTGTTCCAAGCTGCCCCGACATTTCCCTTTCTTTCCTAGACGCTGACTTTGTTCTTTACTGTACTGTCTCTACCACGTAGCAAGGGGAAATTGGAAGGGGAAAAGAGGTACTTACCAGGAAACTTGTTCATCATAAATGAACTGTGAAAAAAAATAAAAAGGAGAGAAGATTAGACAGACACACACACACATACACATGCACACACAGGCTTTATAACTGCATGTTATCCGCCCTTGTGGCTGGCTGGTGGGAATTGGGGCTGGGGCCGGTTTGGGTTGTGAAGCATCTGTGGGCAAACTCCCCTCTGTGCTGGTTTAGTCTCTCGTCAGTGTTCGTGGAAGGAGGTCTTGTTGGCAGACTCGGGTGGGCATCCGGCCATCCCAGCCTTCCTGCAAGTTCTGTCAGAGGATGGAGAGAGAGGGAAGCATGCCCAACCTCATTATTTGTAGAATTTCAGATCTGGAAGGGGATGCGGAGCTTGGTGGGTGCTTGCAAACATGAGTCACTTACGGGTCCCCTGGAAGCTGTCTGTATGTCTCTGCGCATCGTACAGCACCTTCGAGCTTTTATGATAGCACCTGCGCTTCTATAGAGATTAGCGAGGGTCAGAAGCAGTGCAAAGGGCCAAACAGAGACCCTCCCTGATCAGTTAGGAGCCGAAGAAAACACACGACAGGACTGAGTTTAAGTCCTACTCCACATAGCATCTAAGATCACTTTTCATTTTGGGGGAAAAAGTGGTATAATTCTGGCCCTTTGATTTATACGGGAAACGGAGCTGCAGAGAACATGAGTAATTTCCCTGGGGTCGCCCAATTAGCTGCAGAGTTGGTCCTAGAACCCAGCCCTGGCTCCTAACTTCATGTTCTTTCCATGACACCCTTATCTGCCCAGATGGTACGGTGCTGAACCCAAATGAATGCCCTTCTATTTCATTCAAGTAGGAAGCTGTTTCTTCCCACACTCACAGGACATGACTGATTTGAGCGCGATCATCTCTGAGCAACTTTCGTTCAGGGGCCCTCTGGAGACTCTCAGGCAGAAGCATCTGGGTGTAGAGGGTGATTACTGCACCCAGGTGGTAAACTCGGCGAACAACGGGACATCGCTTCAGTCCCCGGCGATGACAGCGACCACCAGTTGTGAGAGACACAGAGAAAACCTCAAAGACCAGCAGGTGCAGCTGAAAAGGTGCACAAGAGGACCTCCCTCCAATTGCCCCAAAGGAGCATAGAGAAGGATGAGGAGAAAGGAGCCACCCTTTTCTTTGTAACTCACTCTTCCCAACAAGACACTGACAAAGACACTGGCTTCATCAGTTTTTGCCGCTTTGTCATCTGTCATTATCGGATCCAACAGGGCGGCATTTGGATGAAAATGTCAGACCAGAGTGGGAAGAGAAATAAAGAAGTAAAGGGAACTGCCCCACAATCCAGGCTGGATGGTGTGGAATTCATTCCCAGGAAGGCATTCCCAGCCGCTGTTACATAATTGCTAGCTTTCAAAAAATCCAAGAAATCATGGAACAGAAGCAGTGGTTTAAGTTGGAAAATGTTTTCTATTAATTGAAGTTAATTCAATATCAGTCTTGGGCAGCAGGCTGGAACAATCAATTCAGAGCCACTTAAGAGAGCACAAGATACTAGTAAAGAGTTGATTAGATCACCAATTTAATGCTCCTCTCTGGGGAGGGCAGCTATCACTCCGCAATATGCAAGCAGCTTGAAGAAGCCTTATTTTGTGCCACCTAACTGACAGGCGAAAAAAAAAATCAGAATGGGCTTAATTGTACAAAGGATTCCAAAGTGAGAGCAGAATTTACAGGGAACACAATAGCAGAGAAATAGTGAGGCATGCCTGGATGCAAACGTGGTGGGGGGAGGGAACCAGAAACTTCCAAACGACAGAGGCAGCGATGCTGGTCCCTGCCCACCTGGAGCCCTGAGGCCTCAGCTACCCTGTGGCCCACGAGTGAACACGGTCTGGGTTTGACCCCACTGCTTCAAGAGGATCGGGTGGAAACATGAGAGCCTCCAAAAGAGAACGGTAACATTGATAAAAGGGACTAGAAATCAGGCCTTTGAGAAAACCTGAATGGAAAGAGGCTTGTGTGTGGTGAGGAAAGAGACCTGCCTGCAGAGTCTGGTGGTGCCTGGAGGGGGCCGCCAGCTGACTGTCACCCACCCAGAAGGAAACCCGCACTGTTCACAGACTGTTCCCCTGGGAGACCACATCTCCGGACCACGCCGACAGAGCATGGAACCGGCCTGTCTGAAAACGTAGGACGACAAAGATGGTGACTCTCACTTGGTGTTGTTGATGGTTAGAGCGGATTTCTTATTTCTTACAGATTTTACTTCATTTGATTCTCCTAAGATGAGTGTTGCACATCCCTCTGTATTTTCATGCTCACTCGGTGAGTAAAAGACAAAACAACTTCCCCACCCCTGCTGGCTGGGTGACTAGGGTAGACGAGAACCTGAAATCACACGCCTTGCCCCACCTGAAACAAGAAATTGCGCCCCCAGTTCCAGCCGGTCCCCACTAGGTGGCGCTCACGTCCCGGCCCCGCATCCCAGCGGCCCGGCCCCGGCAGAGATGTTGAGATCAAGTTGGACCAAGTCCCCTTGGCGGCTCCATGAAATCTCCTGGGAAGTGGGCAAGGGCCCCTGGACAGACCGCTTCCTGCAGCGGCCTGCGGCCAGCCCACTGCCATCACGCGGCGGGGTGACGTTCTGGAGGCAGCTCCTGCCCGGTGCTCTGAGATGGGGCCGGGTGGGTCCCTCAGTTACACCCACACGCAGTCCCCAGACCTGAGCGCAGCGGTCAGAGGTGCCCCACCCTTTTCCCAAGTGGGATTTTGCAGAGGAGCCTTGGGAAAGCAGCTCTCTGTGCTCTGCTGGTTGTGTTTGGGGCGAGGCCGCTATTGCCCCACCCCCCGCCAGGGCCCGCGTGGGTGCGCTGATCTCTGGGCCCCAGATTTGCTGCATGGCTGGTCAGGGACCTGCTCTCTGACCCATATCTGGTTCCTCCAGAGCAACCCCCGGCTTCACGCTAAGCTTTCCACGTGTTCCGCAGACGAGCTAAATGGGAACTCACAGGAGTGAATCTGAAAAAACCCTCTTTTCCTCCAGGCCTCCGCGAAACGTTTGGGAACCATGGAAACCAGCTTTTCAGTGCTGGTGTCTGCTATAGAATTCTTCCGAGAGAGACAGGATTCCATCAGGCAGGTGAATCCCTGGATGACCGAGCAACCCAGGGAACTCAAGGCGGAACAGCAAGGAACAGACAGCCGGTAGTCGCAGGCAAGTGGGCAGGAGAGGAGAGCCCAGGCTAGCCCCGCAGCGCACGGCGGCCCTGGGCTGGCTGGTTGTAAGCGGTAACCATGGCGCTGGGCGGCTGCTGTGCTGGAGCTGAGACCTCGTAGCTTGTACAGTAATCTCTGGCACCATCAGAATTTTAAGCAGTGAAGGTAAAAGGAGAAAATCAACACCATCATTCTCTTTCAAGAGGCTGAAACCTTGAACATCTTTCCCGCGTTGCTGGGAAGGGAAACTGCTCCCCCCCACGGCGTAGATGCCCTCAGGAGATGTGCCTACTCGGCGTCCTGCATTCCTCCGGCTTCAGGGACAGGGTTGCGGGTGGCTTAGCGGAGCCCACGGCGATTCCCTCTGAGGGGAGGAGTCAGATGGAATGCATTGGAAAACAGCTGTGAGGCACAGATATGGTTTCCAATTGCAGGGTAAATCGTGATTCTGACATGAGCATCTCCAGCTGGCCGACCTGACGGTGCTGGGGATACGGGAGGGTAGGAACTAAAGGCAGGGCTTGAGCAGAGCTGGACATCCCATATCAACCTGCAGGGCAGGCCACAGCAGAAGAAACAGTGATGAGAGGACCAATTTAGGATACAGGAGATGACGGTCGTTAAAGCAAAAGATTACGTTCGCTCAGCAGCGCAAAAACACAGGCGAGGAACTAAAAGGTCCAAGTTGCTGTCCTCGCGAAAGAGCAAGTCTCCTGGAATCCCATCCAGCCAACCCGATTCCCGGCTCTAGGAGCAAATGCTCGGATGCCCCGGCTCCCTCCCTGACCCCAGCACCACTTAAGAGCAGCCCTGCCTCTTCACTGTGTCAGGGATTAGGGAACAGGGGACCCCCTGGTTTGTTTGAGGAACTTGAATGTTCTCTCACATCCTTCTGTGTGAGAATCTTCTGGCTGCCAGAGTCATTCCCGTTTTGCTGGGCCCCTGAGATGTAATCGTGAGCAGAAGGGCCTCAGGGTCTCCAAACTGGAGAAGGAGGAAGGGCCCGAGGGGAACAGGCCGTGGAGGACAGCGGGTACCAGAGGACAGTCAGCAGGGTACATGTCAGGCACTTTCCTCTCACAGAAAGGGCGAGATAAGGAGATTTAAGATGAGTCGTCTTAATGAAAGACTTCCAGGAGAGGGAGGCAGACGTTCAGTCTCCAAATGTAAAGTAAACGCTTCCTCCGGGTGCCCCTGTGAAGGTGGACTTCGTGGTAGGTGGGGTAAAGCCAGACTGTACGAGGCAGGTTTTGTTGGCGGGAAAACCTGAATTCTTTGCTGGGCTGATGCAGCTGTACATCTTCTCCTCCCGCTCTGGTTGGCCTGAGAGGTTGCAGCTCGCTCACCTTGAGCAAATCCCTGGATTTCTGGAGCCTTGGTGTTGCCATCTGTAAAATGGGACTCCTATCACAGCTGCTTGTGCAGTGGTGAGTATTGAACTAGGAAATCTCTATCGACAGACCCAACACTGTACTCAGTCCCGTAGGAAGTGTGGAGTCTATGCCTGTTGAAAGTGCCCGTGAGAATGTAGGTATACTTTCTATGGAAGGATTTGCTCTCTACCACTGTGCTCTCCAAGCTGATAGGCACTAGCCACGTGTGGTCTCATACATTGAAATGAATGAAATAAGGTTCAGTTCCTTGGTTGCAATGGTTGCATTTCAAGAGTACAATGGCTAAATGGGAAAAGAACTTGAAAAAGAAGAGACACATGTATATGTACAACTGAATCACTTTGCTGTACACCTGAAACTAACACAACATTGTAGGATCAACTCTACTCCAATATAAAATAAAAATTAAAAAAAAAGAGCTCAAAGGCTCACGTGCTTGGTGGCTATCATACTGGACAGTGCTGCCTAGGCTGTCTCCGGCAGATGGGTCAGTTGAGTTGTCTCTCTTTATCAGAGTGGGGGGCTGCACTGAGTGAGAGGGCAGTGTCACCTCGGATGAGCCTTGCTGCTGTGCCGGTGCTCAGGTTGCCCTGAGGGGCCCCCCCACTGCCAATGGCCCACCCGGCCCTTCTCCAGATGGGCAGCCCCTCCTCCCCCAAGCTGCATTTGTGAGCCTGTCTGTTATCTGGAACCTGTCTCAGAGGCCGCTCCATACCCCCTGGAAGTTTCCCTTCTCTTGGTGCTCAAAACCCCCCATCTTGAAGCAGAGATGAAGGGTAAAAATAAAGTATCCCTTTTAGGGCAGCTGTTAGATTGACGATGTAATGAATCATTTGCATTTATGTAAATTACATGATTATGTAAATTACAGTAACATTTCAATAAAAGAGACTGTCTGTCGGGTCTGCTGGAATTTGGAGAAAGAAGATGGGGAGGCTGGAGCTGCCATCGTCAGATGGGGGTGGGTCCTTGGGGAGAGTCCATGAGGGTCTGCGGAGTACCCATCGTGTAGAGGCACACAGGACGTGCTCCAAAGGACCCAGGATGCTCTCAGAACCGAAACAGCGACACTTCTCTTGCAGAAAGAGACCCAAGTCACGGGGTGAGCTTCCTAGGCCATGTCAAGCTTCTCCAGGGCCTGATGTTTCACTGTAGAGAATGTCACCTGGGCTAAAGGGGGATGCCTGATGGGGCGGGGGAAGGGCGCTGAGAGACAGGCGCTGTACGCTTTTGCAATTAGAACTGCTTTAGATGAGAGCATGTTCTTAATTTCTTCCGCTCTCTATTTATCTATTTATTTTTACGCTCTTTCTTTAAAAAACAGCAACAACAAACAAACTAGAAAATAGCAGAGAGCAAAGGTCAGGTAAATCCCAGATATCGACGTGAACTGAGTCCCTTGTCTCTAAGTTAACCGGTTGAAGCTCTGTTGGTTTCAGAACACCCGTGCTGTGTTTCTGCTTTTTGGCCTGGGCCTCTGCAGCAGCGTCCATGTCAGCTGTTTCAGAATCCAGGTAGTAACGACCCCATCAGCACTCCCTGGACCCGCGGCCCCAAGCCTCCCTGGAGGCGTGGTCTTTCCAGCTCTTTGGATCCCCAGCCCTGAGGGACTGTCCTCGGGGCTCCTCCCTGTGGGCAGATGTATTTAGAAGTGGCCTCTGGTCCCATTTAGTCGGGACTTGCCCTCCGGGTGAATTAGCTCTTCATTGTGGCACCTCAGGGGACTGCCTTCTGAACATTTCAGAGCCATAAAAAGGGGGAGAGGGTAAAAAAAACCCTAATAGTTAAAATAAATTATTCAGATAATTATTGGTAATTATTTGTGGGTAGGAGGAGGGTTCTAAATATAGGACTTTTCAGTGCCCATTGCAGAGTCCGACGGAGAAGCTTTGTGTTATACAAGGAAAACCCAAAGAAAAGTGATGCTGTTACCATGACATTAGGGAAAACATAGAAAGAGGAGACTAGGAAACCTTGACAAAAAGATATGGCATGTGGAGCAGCAGCCTGGGGCTGGCGCATGGAAGAGATCTGTGGACATGGACGAACCTCCTTTGCTAAGCGCTGTTCTTCGGGTATTAGGCTGTTTTGCTCTTCAGGCTGGTTTTAAGTCTCATGTGAAAATGACCCCAAGAACGAACGGCCCTCAGAAATCCAGCCAACCAAGCTGCCATGATGCTTCCCCTTTCGAGACGATCCTCGCCTGCAGCAGATGAACATCTGAGGAAATGGTGTCCAACCGTATTTGAGGTTGAGTTTCTCCACTGGCATCAGAATCACGGGGGAAGATCCTGGTTGAAGTGAAGCTTCCTGGGTCCAACCCCAGGATCTACTGAATTCAAATCTCTGGTTTGCACGTTTCCAGGAGGCATGCTGAGCGTTTCCTGTGCTGCTGAATTTGGAGGAACGCCACTTAAAGTAGAAAGAACCGAGACCAAACCCTGAGGCCCCAGACGTTCTCTTTTCCATTACTTCCTAACAGTGGAGAAAGGTAATTTTTCTCAAGATCATAAAAATCTAGCCTTGACGTCAGGTCGGTAAATACACAGTCCCATCTCTAGGTCACAGCAAAGAATCACTTGCTTTTGACTCTGTTGCCATCGGAGGGAACACAGAGCTGCTGGCATCCTGCGAGCAGCTGAGTCAGCTCTGATTCATCCTCAGCAGGTGACTGCTTCGCCCAAAGACCCGGCTCGGGTGAGCGTCGCCCACAGCCTGAGGATGCAAAACCGCTTTGTTTCTTCACACGTCATTAGCAACAATTACATTTGTTCTATCTTGAACACAGCCAGATAAATGTGACAGAAGACAGGCTATTTCACACAGGTCCAGGAGGTGTCTATGTGAAAACAGTGAAACTGACGCCGGCAAATCCGCCGACAGGCACGACGGGCGTGGACGCTACCAGGTCCGTGCTCCCAGGGGGTCTTGTTTTTTTTTTTCCTTTGGTATAAATTTATTTACTTATTTATTTTTGCCTGTGTCAGGTCTTCGTTGCTGCGTATGGGCTTTCTCTCTAGTTGCAGCGTGCAGGGGCTACTCTTTGTTGCGGTGTGCGGGCTTCTCATTGCGGTGGCTTCTCTTGTTGCAGAGCACGGGCTTCAGTAGTTGTGGCACACGGGCTTCAGTAGTTGTGGCTCTTGGGCTCAGTTGCTCCACGGCATGTGGGATCTTCGACACGGCTCAAACCCGTGTCCCCTGCACTGGCAGGCGGATTCTTAACCACTGCACCTCCAGGGAAGTCCCTCCCAGGGGGTCTTGGACTGCGTTGTTCTGGCTCATCGCCTTGTCCCTAGGAGGGTGGACACCTCCTTCTGGAATTCAGTAAAATGGAGAACTGCGTTCATTGACACCATCCACTAACACGTCTCTTGAAAAATGTAATTTTCAGAAATCATCCTAAAATACCCTGACAGCAGAAGAGCAGAGTGCATGTGAGCTGTATGGGATCAGGCATCACAGGACAAAGATTCTGCAGAGCGTGTTTGAGCAGTCTGGGCTGGGTGAACAGAGGCTTCTAGATCTGGGGGTGATCGTACCTCTTCCACAGGTACAAGAACACAGAGCTCATAGGTGTCCTTAAGTCTGCTGACCGGGAATTCAACAGACACACTGTGTTTTCAGTCCAACGTGGACGTCGGAGCACTTCTGCCCTTGGGGGGCTGGTCTCAACCCTCCTGATCGTCAATTGCCCCTGGAATGAGGGTGCTGTGGTTGTAAACCCAAGCTCTTCACTTGGAGCTGCTGTTAACTTAACTAACCCATCTGATTCCTTGGGGAGAGTCTTGTATTAGACATCACTTTTGACTTATTTGTATACAGCTTTATAATTAAATCTAATTTATAATTAAATTATTTATAATTAAATAATATACAGGTAAGTGCTTTGTAAACAGGTAAGTAAATCCTTCAGAAGATCTATTTCCGTTCTGTGCATAAGGAAACTAAGACCTGGAGACACTGATTTCTCCAAGGTCATTAGAGCTAGCGAGAAGGGGACCCGAACTAGGAGCCAGGTCTCCTGATTCCCATGTGTTGTTCTGACTTCCTGCCCTTCTCCTAGACGGCTCGGCTTGCCAAGCTAAGGGATTTGGGTTTGTCCCCACAGGACATGGAGCCACTGATCATATAAACACAGGACTGGCATTTGCAGGTGTTCTTTGTCGAGACACCGTTTGGACAGCTCTGAGGACTGACCAGGGAGGGGGGAATAGAGGGGGAGGGGGTGGGCAGCTGTGATGCTACTCGTTACATTAATCTGCAATGAGCTTCATCAGTGCAGGCCAGAGATGCAAAAAGCCTCAAGGAAAACAGGCTACGGGGGACACACTGGGGAGACTTTTACAAAGTGAAAATCCACAGGACACTGACGCCAAATGCGTATGCTGGGAGTTGGGGGGAAGGTCAGTTTAATATCATTCCCAGGCTGGGTAGCTAGGGTAGGAACGGGGGCTGAAATAAAGGAGGAGGGTCCAGTCTTGGGGAAATCATCCCAAGTGTAGAGACACATTGGGTCTGGGGCATGAAGGTGTCTAGTAGAGAGTTGCTTACCCACTGCTAGGGACACAGTGTAGGCGTGTCCGCGTGAAGGCGGTAATGGCAACGGGTACAGTGGGACGGGCAGGGCGTGTCCTGGGAGAGTGCACAGAGTAAGGGGGAGAAGGAAGGTCCACACCCAGGGATGCTGAAGGGAGTTACAGAGGAGCCCATGAGGAAAGTGAGTGCAAAGGGTTGGGGGAATCGTAGGAAAACAGCAGGGGATGCTCATGGAGCTGGGGGACCAGAGCCAGCTCCTGCTCTGAGCACCGGACCATCAGGCTGGGGTTCTGAGTGATCAAAGTAGCCGCCTCCACGCACCTGCTCCACTCGGAGGAGCCACACGTCACCCCAAGCTGAGAAGGATGATTGGGAGATAAGAGGCCAGGGATCCAGGTGAGGTGCCCATCACACACTTACCACGATGAGCGCGACCACGGACAGCGTGTAGTAAATGGAGTCCCTCAGCAGGCACCAGGAGGACAGAGCCACAACCTGGAGGAAAAGGGGAGAGGAGGTGAGAAACAGGACATCGACTGTGCGGGGGAGACAGCCTGGCTCCTGGCGCTGTGGCCAGTGATGACCCAGACACACAACCTAGCATTTGTGTCTCTGACCCGGAGACCCAGGCCATCTGCCAGTTGATAGGAATTTACTGAAGTCTTTAGGCATAACAGTCTGGGTCTCCTGAAAATCGGATGCCAAGATGGGGTTGAACCTGCAAGGACTTCATTAGGGGGAGACACCCAGGAGAGGAGACCAGGAGTAGGCCGGGCAAGCGGGAGGCTGCCCAGCCGTGACTCGGGTCTGACCCCCAGAGGAGAGGGAAAGCTGGGTAGACGGACAATCTGAGGCAGGTTCTGCACAGCCGAGCCAAAGTCCAATGTCTCCCAGGAGCCCGCCAGCCTCAGCATCCCTAACTCCACGTGGACCATAGGAGCTACCCGACCCTGGGTCCTTGTCAACACTCTACGCAGGGCTGGGCAGCTGCCACCCTTCAGAAGAGGCGCGGACAGTTGATTTGCACTCTCCCCCCCACTCCCCGCGCCCTCTTCTCTCCTCTCTATTATATGCCAGGCCTTGTGGGCACTTGACCCCTGGCTTAATCAGAATTTTTAAAAGATTGATTTGCGTACTGATCTGGAGAAAACATTATCTTAGCAGTGGGGAGCCGTCCCTTTAAAGATGTGGTGACTCTGCTGAGACCAGTGGACACCTTGCTGGAGGATAAGCAGGCTTGGCCTCCTGTGTGCAGACTTCCTGCAGGAGAAGGAGGCCCCTGGTGCAGAAGGAGGGGCGGGGCCCCGCTGGGCATTGTGGGAGGAGGGGCTGTGGGGAGGGGTGGGGGAGGAGAGAGGGGGAGGGACCCAGGTTAAGATCCCTGCTCTGGAGGAAGTCACTTCTCCTCTGCAAGTCCTTCAAAGTCTCTTTTGGAGCAAAAGCTGGTATTTTTCCTCTGCTCTGCAGAGTAGGTCCATTTTTGCAGACGCTCCCAAAGGAGGCTGGGAGAGTCCCAGTGCCCTGTCAGAGTTGCTTCCTGGGCTGTCACTCACAGTCCCTCCCACCTCCCTAGAAAAGTGTCAGCCACCCCAGGGCCACAGGACACTTCTAGCTGCCTTTGCCCTTGGCCTCATAAGCGGAAAAGGACACAGCAAATGCCACCTCTCAGCTGGGACAGTGACAGGCACACGGTGCACCAAAGACAACAGGAAAAGGGATTCCAGGGACAAGGCCGCCTTTGGCCTCTCCCCTCCCCTACTGCTGTGTGCGGCTATGAAGAAAGGATCAGGCAAAGTCAAACCAGAGAGGGCTTTCTGGATTCAAATAACATGAAAGATATGACTTAAATAGAACCATAAATGAATAATGAGGCCAGCTTCTTTTCATTAATGCATTCTTCCACTGCTGTAGGGACACTGAGGTATTTTCTGTTGCTAATTTTGCCTTATATGGATGTGTATTTGCAGATCTAAGTTACAGATGACAGGGTTGTCAAGAAGAGAACTTGTGCCACGAGAATCACTTTAGAACAAACTTTACCCTTTTATCATCTTTCCTTGGACCATATACTCTTAGAACCTGTGACCATCACTTACCGTCTATGGAACAGAACAAATTGGACTAGACTGTTCATTTTCCATCAGGTCATAAAACGTGGTGAATATTTTAAAATTTATTATAGTTAGGCTAATGGACTTAAAACATGTGGCAAATATCAATTCTGAATTTCCTTAAAAAATCACTTGGGCTTTTAATTAAAGATGGCAGATTGAACACATACCAGTACCTTTGCTCTTTCTTGTTGCACTATAACAGGGTAACAGCAAAAGGACTGTTTTTTTTTTTTTTTTTTTTTTAACAAGACATAAACCTGGGAGGAAAGGAGAATAGAAGAGCTGATCAGAGCAACTGAAGTTTGGAGGCTGAAAGCAGAAGAACAATTGGTCATTCAGCAGGCAGTGGGCCAAGCTCTAGAAGTGATGGTAAATGTGGCCTGAAAACGGGATGACCGTGAGACTGTTTAAGAATTCAATCCCAAACCTCCTCCCTCTCTTCAAGCGGACCAGTGACTGCACATCCCTCACCTTATCAGAAACAGGAGACCTGGCATTTAAAGAAGAGAAGTTCCAGAAAAAGGAGGAGAGGAAATAATCAAATAAATAATTAAAGATTCCCAGAAGTTAAGGATGTGCATTTTCCAGCACAAAGGACAAAATGATGCATACCAATGCACGTCATTGTGAATTTTCCAAAGGTCAGGACCAAAAAATGGTCCTAGAAACTACCAAAGAGAGAAAAACAGGAATATATACAAAGGATCAAAACCAGAATGACATTTTATTTCTCAACCAAAGCACTGGAAGCTAGAAGACAATGGAGGAACACCTTCAAGATTAGAAAGGAAAATGATTTCAACCTGGAATTCTACACTCAACCAAGTTGTTCATTAAGGGTGAGAGAAGACTAAAAATAAAAGTTTAGTTATCTCAGAAAAAATGTAATTCCTACGTATCTTTTCCCAGAAAGCTACTGGAGGATGTGCTCCACTAAAATCAGGGAGTAAAACAATTGTTACAGAGAATTATGTTACAATAAACCATTAAACCAAACAATAAAAATCTATCATAATAAGTGAAGAAGATTTCCAAGATGGTGGTGAAGGAAGATTCCAAAATGATGGTAAAAGGAGAATCCAAGATGAAATTTTTCCAGCAGGTCAGAAGACTCAGACGAAATGATGCCAGAAGGACAAAACTGATGGAAAATCTTATGATTTTGAACCCACGGAAAGGAGACTGGAGATCTCTGGGAACAGAACATAGATACCTCAGCAAACAAACAACAACAATAAAGACAGTTCTAAACCATGGGGAAAACACAGAGTTGTGCAGGAAAGGAAGATGAATCATTACCCATTATTGGCTCAGCTATAAACAGTGGTCACATAGTCATAATAAACACAGCATAAACTACCGTCTAAGCAAATTTATGGTGTAATTGTTTGGGGAGGACAGAGGGCCGGGCAATCGGGGTGGGCAGGGCTGAAAGAGACCTTAACCTTCCTCTTCCACACTACTGTGAAACCATGGAGCATTGTGGAAACTGAAAAGTCAAGTAACTGCCATAGAAGCAAGTTATTTGGAGACACTGAGCAAGTGTCAGGAACAACCAAACTAGTGGAAAGTAGCTGCTTCTGAAGGGTGGGACGGGAAGGTGGCTGTCTTTCATAAGCCTTCTGGAAATGGTTGCCTCTTTAAGCTCTGTGCATATAACTTTAATGAAAATAAAAACTAAAATAAGAAAGTATAATACAAGTTATCCACTTAGATTTACTCCTGCAAGAAATGCACCTCACGCTGAGCCTAGATGTCAAATCTGCATGGATAGCGATCTATTTTTATCTCTTTATAAATAGAATAGTTTTCAATGTACAGACTATCTTCAAATTTCAGCTCCAGATTCAGAGCCTACATTTACCAAAACCAATTTTTAAAAAATTTATTTATTTATTTAAAAAATTTTAAATTGAAGTATAGTTGATTTACAATGTTTCAGGTGTACAGCAAAGTGATTCAGGTATATATATATATATATATACACACACACACACACACACACACACATACACACACACACACACACACGTATATATTCTTTTTCAGATTCTTTTTCATTACAGGTTATTACAAGGTATTGAATATAGTTCCCTGTGTTATAAGCAGGTCCTTGTTGTTTATTTTATATATAGTAGTGTGTATCTGTTAATCCCAAATTCCTAACTCATCTCTCCCCTCACTTTCCCCTTTGGTAACCATAAGTTTGTTTTCTATGTCTGTGAGTCTATTTATGCAAAACCAATTTTTTCTATAGAAGCAATGAACTGGAGGACAAATAAGGAGGCAAATTAGGGAATAATTTTTCTCCACACTCTAGAAGGAATTAAAGCATTGTCGATTCTGCAATATCTATAGTGAAAGCTGTGACCATGACCTCATGTCCACCTCTACCTTCCCTTTCTGTGACCACTACTCACCACAGTAGTGAAGATTTACCTGACGCTTCCTGCAAACAAGAGGACTGGAAGGGTTATTTCATTCAATCCTACAGCAACCCCAAAAGGTGGGCAGTGTCACCCTCATTGGCCTGCAATCTGGACCTGACCAAGGTGAAGCCTTGACCGTGGTCATACAACTACCAGTGGGGTGGGGGCTTGGATCTGAACCCAGAAGCCTGGGTCTCACGGCCCTGACCCGACCCTCTATGCTACAATGCGTAAACAGAGGCAGGGTAAAAGCAGATACCCATTTGTGACATCTCCCATGGAAATATTTTTTTCTCCCTGACATTAAGCCATTAGGCAGGTGCGTTAGAGATGGTAGCCAAAGGAGGGAAGAGTTGGAGGTGAGAGACCAAAAAGCAGCTACCACAGCTCAATTTAAAAATATACTGCTCTAAAGAGACTCAGGGCAAGTTATCAAGGCAGAAGGAGTGGCCACAGTGACAATAGACAGGGATACAGATAGGGTACGGTCATATTCCAGGAGGGAGAGAGTCAGTTAGAAAACTGGGAAACTACTCCATTTAGCTAGTGTTTTTTTTTTTTTTTTAAAAAAACCCCAATACAGTTCATTGTTTGCTGATGGAATATTTTACTTTTCCACAGATGTGGATACACTGATGCTTGGTTCTAAGCCACTCTCTTTGCTTCTTGGTGAAGGGGCTTTTATCTCGAGAAGAGGCCAGCGAACATGTGACTCATTCGTTGGCAGGGAGGGATCTGTCAGCACCCCTGCATCAACATGGGAGGGAGGCTCTTTGGTATCTGTTGGCAGGCGTCACCCAACCCAGAGCGGGGGAGATGGTGATGAGAAGACAGTGCTTCCTGAGCACTTTGCAAAGTGAACAGGGGTCCTGGGAGAGAACCAACAGTGAGTAATGCTGCCCTTGACCTCATTAATCAATAATACAGATGGCACAGATTATGAGAGGCCATC